CCTAGTGCAGTAGTTGCGACTTGCGCTGTGCAGGAGTGAGGAATAAACTTCACTTGTTTTATGGCAAACAGCTTAAATTTTTAAACCTGCTGTTGTTTTCAAATGTGCACCGCATGAGATGGCAAAATTGCACCTTGTCACGTTTTTCCTCAACACGATTATTTATCGTAGGTGCGCAATGCGCATCTTATTTTAAACGGTCGTTTTCTTCATTTTTTTAGACCAGAAGGCAGAAGTCACAGGAATGGGCGCCGCTGAGCTTTTCAGTGCAAATGCTCTCAAATAATCATCAGACACATGATGCACATAAACTTTACACACATCATGGGTTTTGTTTGCACGCAGTAGAGCTGTTTACACTTATCCACTCATTTCAGAAGCTCAATTTTGCTGGCATGTGTATTTCGGTGCATACCGCGTTAGGCGCTGTAAATATAAAGTACATACATACGGCGCTGTGTTGATATGGCCTTGCTGATAGCGCCATAGAGATGATGTTCGGCCGGCTCATGGCGCTCCTCCCAGCCTCTATAGAGCTCTGTGAGTGCTGTTACCTACTGAGTCGAACGGCAGCCGCTCTGTGCGTTCTGTGTGGGCTCTGTAACTGAGCATTGAGACGAAAGCAAGCCATTCGGTGTGGTGCCTTGCTGTGCCGACGGCCTCAGCTTGCACCGTGCACAGTACAGTGCCCTCTCGGAGTCTCGACATCGGGCCACGCTCGTTGCGCCGCGCGGCAGACGCGGCACCAGGTGGCTGGCGCGACACCGCTCTGCCGCGCACCGAGCCTCTGCTGTACCGAGCCGAGCCGACAGCAGCGGCACAAAAAGCAGCGCGCGCCACCGCCGGACGACTCATTATACCCTATTTTCCGCCAGATGGTACCGACGAGTGGTACAAAAAAAAACTAAAAACTTGTCCTGACGCAGAGTCACGAGCGGCAAGAGTTCGTGTGCCGGTGAACAGAGGCGTGCCGTGTGCCGGTGTGCCGGTGGACCGGCGAGCTGGTGTGATGGTGAGCCGGTGGGCTCAGTGAGCGTTGAGCTCGTGTGCCTGTGAGCTCAGTGTTCCGGTGAGCTGTGTTTCGGTGAGCTCGTGAGCCGGTGAGCGGCTGAGCTCGTGAACCATGGGGAAAGCGTCAGACCGTGTCAGAGTTGGGCGCTGTAGCAGACACAGCCGGCGCTGGTTTTACGAGCGCTATCTGTGAATGCACAGCTAGGCGGCCGTGCTCGCCGATGCGCGGCATTCTTCTGACAAAGTTATGGCGCAAATTTCGCTCACCGTCGGCCATGCGCGCGGCTCCGGTCTTTATCGCGCCGCTAATACACCCACATTCATATGAAACTGCAATTAAAGGCCGTGTTAAAAACTCATCAACTGCAGGAGCCGTCCACAATTAGCTGCACGATGGCGGCGCCAGTGCAGCTCTGTGAAAATTGATGCACGCTAACTGTCGGTCGGCGCATTGTTTGGCAAGTAGTTTGGCCGGTCGTCGCAAAGGGTTGACGCCGCCCGGCTCCTCTCGGTAGCCCTGTGCCGGTGCCGCCCTAATATTATCACCGCTCCAAACAAACCGGCGCCGGCTTCATCCGCCGCTCCCACGGCCCCTTATTGCACGTGTAAATATTGAGGGCGGCAGCGGCGGCCCGCTCACCGGATAACCTGTGGGCTCGTTCACGGCAGTGGGACGTCCTGCTGTCCAAACATACGGCCCCAGTGGGACCACCGTCACCGGACTGCCCTCCGCTTAGCAAGCGCCGCCGAAACCGTGTACCAACCATAACTCTTTCGGGTTTACTGTTTCAGGGAGCTGGGAGCTTTTCTTTTGAGAGGGCACACAAACATTCAACAATCCCAAAGGTGGTCTCATTCCCTTAGTATCCTCAATAATGAATCCGTTTAGTGCTACGTCGCATTCTTCATATCGCCTCCTGCTATAGGAGAAGGACCAACACGACATTCGCATTGCCTGCCCCGCGCCTTCATGCACCGGGTCTGTACCATAACCAACGGACCAGCCCGCCAGGGAAGCCCGTCAATTCTTCCTGAGTGACACCTGTAATGAGTCCATGACCTTGTGAGTCGAGAGCGACCGGTGACAGCCAACGTCATGTATTGCAATTGCAGGAAACACTCATTTCTAGATGATTTTATTTTTATAGGATATTTCGATTGTTTATTTTTATGCATCGTTCCATTTTTGCTCGCTCGCACCTCCGAAGACTGAAAGTGCGGCAGGTGAATGGAAGCGCCGCGATCGGCGGCCGTGCCCCCTCCCCTGCCCGCCGGTCTGCGGCGGCGCGGGGGTAATTCCGGCCCGGACTCCGGCCCGGCTCTGTTCCCGGAGCGTGTGCCGTTTTTACGCCCGGGCCGGCCGTCCGCTCTCGCCGTTTCACCGTGTGTGCTGTGGGCCGCGCTGGTCGGACGGCGACCAGCTGACGCCGAACGGGGAACTGCAATGTGCGCCGCGCTACCTCCGGCGGTGGGCCAGCCAACTGCCCGGGCCGTGGGCCATCCGACTGCCCCGGGCCGTGGGCCGACTCCCCCGGGCCGTGGGCCACCCGACCGGAACAGGCCATCGCTCCGGGCCGCGCGGCAGGGGGCCGGCCGTCCCGACCATCAACCATGAAAGGGGCGCCAGCACCGGACGGACCACGTGTGGCTTATACATTCCGGAAATTGCAGCCAAGTTGCAAAAGTGAATCATTTGCAGTGAGCAAGAGGTTGTATTTTCCGCGCTAGTGTTTCTGGAACTGGCGTCGTGGCGTGCGGAGCGGAGCGGCGCGGTGGTGAGCGGGGCTGTACGGGACGGAACGGGACGGGTCGGTACGGACGTCAGTCGGGGCTAGAACGGCGGCTCACCGGGCACACAGGGGAGGTAGGCTCCGCGCCGGGAACACCGGCTGACTGGTCTGACCACTCGGCGCGGTGCAGCAGGACTGAAGGTCGGAAAGAGTGAGAGGGGAGACAGAAGGGGCTGCTAATTCAGACGGTATGGTCAGAGGGACCACCACCCCGCGGTCCCCATCGCCAGGTGGAAGCTGGAATTATCGACATAAACATAATGATGCAACTTAGAATACCTAATGGGCTCCCTCATGTCAGTAGTTACATCAGGAAAGGACAGAAAAGAAAAAGTATCACTTATTTATTTAATTTATCACCAACAGGTTGGCCCCCATTTGCGGGCGAAATGTGTTATTAGGTATTATCATTTCGTTCCACCTATTGCCATGTTAATTGCAGACCGAAAAAGGAACGCTTTTATACGATTATGCACGGTTTGGCATGCTACAATATGCATTGAGTTCCTACATACCAAGCGAACTTTCAGCTACTGTCAGTTTACATCAAGGTAGATAAAAAGACGGGTGAAATGCGGGTAAACGGCATAATGGCATTGTCATAAAATGTGTTGGCATGCATAGCATGACAGGCACGCAATCAGACTCACCTGCCCGGTAGGAATAAGCTCAAAAGGTCTGAAAGTCGACGGCTTTGTCATTCCAAATAACTTCTGCATTGTTTGTTGAACACGCCTAATTGTGTTGAAATCATAACCACTATTGTTCTAGGCTTAGCAAGCTCAACTTTCTACAAAAATGCATGTTGCAATACGTCAGCCTCATCGGAGAAAACAGGTGACAAAACAACCGACCGAGGCAGCATCTCGCTCCGAAAAAAGTTCGGGGGGCACCTCCTTCGCCGGAGCGGGCATTGGCCATATCATTCCTGGAAAAGCTTCCTTGGTCTGATGAGCTTTTTTCTCGTGACGGACAGGTTTTAGCACGGCTTTTCTCGGCGGCCAGCCGGCTTAGGTACTGGCTGGCCAGCCGTGTCTTTGTGCAAAACCAGCCGGTAGCCTCGTTAGACGGACTGTCCCAAAAATGGCAGCAGCAGGGGCCGTCCAGCCGGCTACTGAGCCGTCCTGCAGCCCTGAGCGAGCGGTGAGCGGCCACCGTCACGAGCCCTGCGGAACCCCCATCGGAACGCCGCCACAGAGAACTGGAGGAATGGCCGGCAAATGAAATACACCACACGACCAATTTATGAACGCTTGTCTGAACGGTAGTGGCTCATAATTCGGGCTAGTACATGTATACCTGTATGTATACCTTCTATTTAGGACCCGCTAGTGTTTTAAGACGAGGAATATAAATTTAATCCACCCCTGGTGTTACTCATTGTATCGACTGTGTCGTGTCTGAACGGGAACAGGGGTTTGTGTCGGGGGTTACCTGTCATCGGACCCGTACATTTTTAGTTGTAATGTTTGTAACGCCGCCAATAACTTGTGACCTCGTCGGAGTTATCTGACCTATGTGTCGGAGTCGTACAACCGTCTGACTTCTTGGTATGTGTCGTAATTATATGACTTATGCGATTTATACTATTTATGACTTATGTATGGGAATTACATGGTCTGTTTGTCGGGGCTACATATTTAGCCTGTGTGATGGAGTTGTCTGACCTGTTTGTCGGGTTGTCATTCTTAGGTGTCGGATTTGGTTAGAATTGTGTGGTGGAGTTGTGACGCTGCTGTCAGGACTGTGTGTCGGAACTGAGGACTATGTATGGAAGTTATATAACCTGCATGACGGCGTTTGTCGGAGCCATCGGACCTGTCTGTTGGAGCAACTTTTGACCGTCAGAATTATCCGACCTCTGTGCGGCTATGCCGTAACTGTCTGACCGTTGTCGGACTATCGAACCTGGCTGTGGGAGCTGACCTGTCTGTTGGAACAACTTCTGACCTGTGTGTCGGATCTTATCAGTCTGTTGCAGCTACCTAGCCTGTGGGCTGTGCGTCGCAGCTGTCGGAGCTGTGTGTTAGGACTTTCCATGACCTGTGTGTCAAAACTGAACTGTGTGTCGACTGTTGGATCTTTCTGACCTGTCTGTCGGAGCTCTCTAACCTTTGTCAGAGCTATCTGACCTGTGTGTCTGAGCTATCTAACCTTTGTCAGAGCTATCTGACCTGTATGCCGGCGTGTGACCAGCAGGACAGCACCAGTACCGGGCCTACGGCATCGGGCAGCGGCCGTTCCTGGACACACGGTTCTCGGACCACCTCAGGGACCTGGAGCATTACCGGCGCAAGTCAGACGGACTGCCGTTCAAGGTGCACGGCGCGCCGGCCGCCACACCAGGTCAGTCCTACGGCACAGTGCAGTACAGCACAGGGTCAGTCTCATAGCACAGCACAGTTCACAGGGTCAGTCTCTGAGCACAGCACAGTTTAGAGGGTCAGTCCTACAGCACAGCACAGTTCACAGTTAGTCTCACAGCGCAGCACAGCGCGATGGGTCAGTTTACACTGTACAGTATGTATAGCGCTCCGGGTCAGTCTGACAGCCTTGCCCAGCGGGCTAGTTTCGCAGTAATCGCGCCGGTTCAGTCCCATAGCACGGCCATGCGGTCAGCCTCGGCATCACCCGCCCTGCGGTCAACGTCAAAGGGTGCGGACTGCCCAGTGCCCTGGTCACTATATCGAATAATATGCCCGCCGGGTCAATCTGACAGCGCTAGCCGTCCTCCCTGGATCAGCATCAAATGGATGTTTACGTCAATCACCAATCTTAGCAGGTCGCAACGGGTTTGCGCCGGCATTTGCCCGGAAGACAGGGGGTCTGCAACCGATACCTACTTTCTAACACCCAGCCCAACCGCCCTGCTAGTGCAACCATGTGACGGTATACCGCCTGATTAGCTTACGTTGGTGTGACGGTGATGTAACGGTGTTGTGACGTTAACTGACGGTGGTGTGACGTTAATTGACGATGTCGTGACGTTGTTAAGACGTTCCAGTTCCAAACGTGCCAGGGTGTTCCAGTTTCTTTGATGTTCCGCGATGGTAATTAAATATGGGAGGGTGTGGACTGCGCATGCTGTTTTTTATAGCATGCTAGTAGGCATTTCTGTCTAACAGAGGTATATCATTCGTTTTAGGTATAGCTTACATCCACGATCTCCTAATTAGGTATACCCCTTCTTGCCCGCTTGCCAAATGAAGGTTTATTACGCGTTTGCACGTCAGATTGGAAAACGGAAGCCGGAAGCGGACTGGTAGTCGACCATGACTCTATAGCACACATTTAGGTGCGCTTATGATTAGAGGTGGAGCTGAAATCCGATTAGAAGCTCTGAGCGAGGAAGTTCTGTGGGGAACTCCCGCTCAGTTTCGTTGATCTGACGGGTGTCAAAACAGCTGCTGAAAGACGCATTCAACAGGCATACATTTGTATTATGCTGCTGGTATTACACCTGTTGTTATCGAGCATTATATCGGGTTCAGCTGCTTTCAACGGGCCCCATCGGCGCGGTGGTGTGCAGTCAGCGGACATACAGTCTGCCTCTAGCTGTTCAGCGCTCACAACGGCTCCTGTGTGCCGCCGCGCCGGTCCGGCGCCCACTGTATCACCGGCAAATAGCGGCGGCGCGGCGGCGTGCACTCACCGCGCAACGTGTGAGCACTCGGCGGAACGGCGCTGCAACCGGCGCCCGGCCGCCGACCGTCGCCGCCCGACCGCGCCGCACTTCACGCCTGCTAATTGTGCCAAAATTAGCGACCGCTAAAAATAAACACCCGGTTAGTGCGGAAAGAGGCGGGACGCCGCGCACCGTTCCGGTCGCCGGGTGTCAGTTGTGTACCTGCAATCAGCGCCGGGGTTGCAGGGTCATGAGCCTAATGATGGATACATTGGGAGGTCCACTGTGCTCTGGGGTTTAGGCTGAGTACGGTGACCGGTCCACTCTGTGGCTCGTGTTGTCAATCCGTTGCCCCACTGTGTGGTTCGTGTTGTCGATTTGTAGTCCCACTGTGCGGCTCGTGTTGTCGGCCCGATGTCCCACTGTGCGTCGGGCCGTCCCCGTACCGCTCCGTCAGTGTCCCGGTCCCCGTCCCCAGTGGTGGCAGCACGCTCCGCTCCGTATACCTGAAGGCTCGTTTGCGGTGTCCGACACGTGAAATATGCAGCTGTGCCGGTCGGTGGCACGCGACACTGCGGCCGGCTGCCACTAATAATGGCCCGGCGCGAGATGTCAATTTTGGGCGGTTGTGAAACCGAAACCAAACCAATGCTTACCGGAGTTATGGTGGAAACTGAAAACCAAACCGCAGCGCCAGGCGCCTGTCGCCTTTCAACATGGTTCTGGGTTATTAAAACGCTATGGATGATCGGTTTCAGGCTCCTCGTCAAGTTTGGTGCAGTATGTCGCTTTGACTTTGAGCAATGAAATGATAACTGGGTCTTCGAGGTATACGCAAACAAGCATCATGGTCTTGCGGCTGGCCGATTATTTATGTCCCGGTCGTGTTGGCTTAGCAATGCTATCATGCATTTCTAATCATACCTATCACTCAAATCTAAAACGAATCTCCACCTTATGCCGGCTGTCGCGAGTGCGGAGGGAGCCAGCTCGGCGTGGCCACGTGTTCCCTAAGTCTGAAGAGACAGACACAGTTAGCTGTTGCCGGTTGCAGTCGGCCTGTTTTCGGTGGCCATCTGCGGTCTGTGCGGCTCGGAGCCGGTGCCGCACCGCTCCGTCAGGCCATGGGCGGCCGGCCGTCAGCCGGAACAAACGGCCGCGCTGCTTGTCGACGACCGCAGCCGGGTGCCACGCTCCGGCTCCACTTTCCCGAGCCGTCAGAGAGCGCGGCAACAGACCGATATGAGAGCGACGCTGAGCGTCAGAGAACGGCGCCGAACCGTCAGAGCGCCATCAGAGAGCGGCGCCGGGCGTCAAAGAACGGCACCGAGCCGACAGAGAGCGGCGCCGGGAGTCGGGACGGCACGGGGGTCGGGCGCACGTACCGCGGTGCTGTGCTGCAAACTGAGGCTTCAATGTGACTGTACTGCTCAGTGTTCACTGCTTCTGTACTGCCTACTGGTCTGTACTGCCGGCTGTGTCTGTATGTATACTGCTCAGCGGCGCTGTGCTATACCCAGGCCGTCCCATTGTGTCTGTATGTACTGCTCAGCGGCGCGCGACCGTCTGGGTGCTCCGACCGGCGGTTGTGGTCATTTCATGCGCGGCTGGCCTGGTTGTCATCACCGCTCGGCGGCCGGCGCCCAACAATGCGTCATCATTACACGCGGTCCTATTGAAATTACCCAATTTCAGTCGGCCCACTGTGGGCCGAATTGATTCCAAACTAGCTCGATGGTCCGACAGCCGGCGCGGATCGGCCCGCCGTCCGCCGGTCGGTGAGTGTTGCCGCGGGCGCCGCGTCAGCCAGGCGATCCGGCTGCCGCAGACACCGGTATCACCCAACCGTGCTGTCACCAACGAGCGATACGGGACGGGGGACCAGCCTTTAGCCCTCGCAGTATCACCCCACCGCGCCGCCACCCAACAGCCCAATATGGGACGCCGGCCCAGCCCTCTGCTGCACCCTTTCCAGCTGTTAATGATCTCCAAATGAGTGCACTAAAGAGGCGGCGAGCACACGGGAGCGCACTGTTGGCTGGTCGGGGCCGCAAATGTCATCAATTGTCGGGCAATGACAGTCGCCTTCCTGGCGGCGGCTCAATTAGGGTCGGGGCAGTCGCGGCGCCGATTAAACCCGCTCATTATGGTGCGGACAGCGGCCGCGGCGGACTGGAGTCGGTGCTAACGAGCGGGTCACAGCGGCGGCCACAGAGCGGTGCGCCGCGGCGGCCGTGTCGGTTTTGCGGCGACGGTGGGTGGACCGGCGGCGGCGACGTTTAGTGAGGTGCGGTATCTTCCGGTCAGGCGCGGTCGGACTGGCGGGTGGCGCTGGTCGGCTGCGCATCAGCGCTGCTCGGCAGCCGAGCTGTCAAAACAGATTCCACAAAATGCTGGGTGACTACGTGCCAGCTTGTAAATGAGGCGCAAAGGATCGCGCTGTTCGCCAACGAAGGCCGAGTAGCACTGAAGCAAGGGACTTCCATAACAGAGCCGATATATATAATAAACGGCCACCGCACAGAGCCTTTGATGCCGTTCACCGCTCAGCTGCCGTTTGTCGACCTCGAGTCAGCGTCATGCGGGGCGCTTTACACTTATATAGGTATAACCCTGTCTAGTGTCCACACAAATAATTCTAAACGGTCTGTGTTTGGGGCTCGAATTGAGACACAAATAACCCGGTAAGCCAGTGCCTATGTATTCCAAACTCATCGAGGATTTCTCTCTCGGTGGATCCGTCCAGCCTGTCACCATATCGTTCCAGTCCATTTCAGCCGCGGGCTCCTGTTCCGGCGTTGCACGTCTCTGATACAGTGTGCCATCTGCCGTGCCGGCGCGCTGTCGGTCGGCGCGGCGGCTCGGCGCCGTCGCCGCCGGCGGGTTGAACGCACCACACACTCCCACGCCGCGGAACGCCGGCCGCCGGCCGCTCCAACGGTGAACCGCTCGGCACCGGCTACTGAGGCCTGGCTACCGTGCTGGTACCTGCTGAGCGAGGCATACCACCCACACAGGGAGCTCTGGATGTGTGGAACGTCTGTAGAGCAGTGAAAAAAGCAGTGGGTCATAAAGATACTCAAAAGTTGCTTGGAAGGCGTCACCTGGGACCTAACTATGTTGGAAAATGTTCCGTGAACGTCTATGTCACATGCGCTTAAAAAGGCACGTATCAATTTAAGTTTTCTACCTTATTGAAATCGCTAAACTTGCCAAAAACCATGAGCTCTTGCCTATTTAACTCGGCCTCTCTTATCCATTTAGTGCTATCTCGAAACGAACAAATGCCGTTCACAGCGTCAGAAGACGTTTCTGAATTTTCATAATTTTAAAAACCAAATATTGAAATTTAAGGATGCTTATGCGAATCATGTGAATGACTCAGTTGAGGAGCCACACCTTGCACGCCACCTTGCACGATAAGTCGTGCACTGTGTGGGAATGCTCCTGTAATGCATCAGCATTAGGAATGTCTGATGAAGGCCGACTATTTCAGGTGCGCCGTTTGTGTGTGACGTGACATAACTGAGGCAAGGTAGGGCTGACAACGAGGATGCAAGGTTGAGGATGGTATAACTAAAGGAGAGGGAAGAGTTGGAAAATGTGTTGGAGGTGGGAAGAGTTGAGAAAGATATGACCATGGTCCTGTCATGGTTCATGGTCGCCATGACCCTGCCGGCGCGGTGCTGTATTGACACCAAAATGTATGTATGTATTGACACCAAAAGCCTTCCACATATGGCGTGGCGATTACGGCTTCCATGTGCTGTCTCTCTCGGCTGTTGGTGGTGATTGAGAAGTCATTGCCCATTCCCTGGACGGCAGCCACGGCGGATTGCCGCTCCTCCTCAGCCGGTGCCGTCACTCACAACTGATCTTCTCCCATCCCTCATCCCTGCCGAGCGTACTAACGTCTAACTGTGCCAGGGAAGTCTCCGCACATGTCACCGCGAGGCCAGTGATTCGACGCGGGGTGGCGCCATGACCTCAGCGGTGATTCGACCGCAGCTCTTCTGCGAAGCGGGAACATCAACATCCGACGCGCACGTGTGCTGCGCGGCTGGAGGGCTGTTGAGAGGCGACGGAGCGGCGCCGGGGCGGGCAATCAGTGCTCTTGGAGCCCTCCTAGCCTCTCTCGAAGAAGGGAAGGGGAGCTTTAGTGCAAGATCTTTAGTGCACCTGTTCAATTTTCTCCGGTTTATGCCTAAGTGGTCATGATTTGCTGGTCGTGTCTTCAAATGATACACGAGCGGCAGATACGACCGATCGCGTGGCGACGAGCTGATCTGTATCTTACATAGTTCCAGTTTGGTGGATCAGTGCCGGACGTTTGTGGCCCGTGACCGGTACCATGTGACCTGTGACCTGCGATGTGACCTGTGCCCTGTGACCTGTGACCCGCGCTGTGACGGGATCGGTGACAGGTCGACAGGGCGGCGCCAGTGACGGCTCGGAGACGGTCGCATCACCATAACAAATCAGTTAAACAAACCAATTCTGATTTCATCAGGGCATTTCTCACACATTATCCGTCTAATTATCTCCATTAGAGAGAGCCGGGGGGCGCGCCGGGGCGCCGCCGACGTCCACGGCCGGCGCCATTTGCATAATGTCAGCCGGACGTGAGACGGTCGCCCTCGCCGGCGGCGCTCGAACGGCGGCGAGAGGAGGTCTGTGTCACGGGCCCGTGAGAGGAGACACCGACACGGCGTTGATGAATGTAGACTGAAGGCTAAGAAAGAGTAGAAACGGCAGTACCAGGGTCTATTTGGTGTCAGCCCGCTTGTCAAACGGGTTTTCTGATTGGGCTCATTGCTGATCGCGCAAGAAGACAGTTTCAAATAATTGCAGGCTAGGCACTTTCATGTAAATTAAATAATTATTATTATAATACTACTGTATTGTTGCGGCTCAAGCTCACCGTTCACCGGTGGGTCGAAAGAAAGGCGCGATGGAGTTGAGCTCGCTAGACAACCATCAAAGGTCTTTGTTCTGTGGTCAATGGTCATACCCCCTCCCCACCCCACCCCCGGTCAGCTCAGAGGAACCGACCATCCCCGTTCCGGTCCGGACATGACTGAGACGCCAGCTGACTTCACGGTCAGCTCTGACTCCGCCGCCGCCGGCACCGGGGAGCACGAGCCTCCCCGGACCAGCGGCCGGGAGCACAAGTCCCCCTAGGCTGGCCATTTCCGTTGTTTATGTTGCGTCCATCCGTTTGCACGTCACCAGTGGCGAGCTGTGTCCGCCCCGTGGCGACTGCCGAGGTGATGGTCCACCAGCTACCGGTGGCAGCTGGTCTCCGAACATTTCGAAAGCGGCAAAATAGCTGCAGCTGCCGACCACAGGGCAGCTGCCACCGACCATCACCGACTCAGACTTGAAAGTCCCAGCTCCTTGGCAACAAACCAGCGCCGTTTGTTCGACAAATCGGCGCGTGCAGTTGCGACCTATTCCCCTCCTCTCTGCAGGGTGTATTTTATCGTCTGTCCCGAGGCGGCTGGTGACGTGTTTCCCAGCGCGCGCGGACGACGGCCGTCGTTTGCTCTGCCGGCGCTTCCTTTGTGTGACGACGTGTTCCTTGTGTTGTTCGCAGAAGCCAGTCAACTGCTGCAGGAGTCAACAGGCCACTGGGGCGGCTACGCGCCGTCGCCCTACTCGTACCTGCCAGGTGAGTGAGTGAGAGTGGGCTAGAGGGGGAGGAGACGGTGATCGAAGGATGGAGGGTTAATGAGAGACTTGTGTGAAATAGCATGAGCACCCACGCTACGTATACCCATTATCCGTCCGAATCCGGCCGCTGCCACAGTACCGTCGCCCCGCCCCGGTCCACTGGCCTCAGCTACTGCAGGCAGTGCAACACATCCGTCTCCGGGGCCGCCGGACTGTCCCTCTGGGCAGTCCCTCAGCTACTGCCGGCCGGCCAGTCCGGACGATAGCAGCACGCCACCGCAACTGCCGGATATACCTACCGACCCGGGTGGTTCACCGAGATTGTGGTGAAACGCTGCACAATTGTGGAAACCCGATAACACACGCACGTCTACAACATATTGGAAGCAAGTCTGCATTTATGTACGATACAAAAATAAAACAGCTCGGGGAACTCTACAGATTGCGTCATAATTATACACAACACGAGTGTGCTCTTTCCTCATATTGCTCACAATTATCTACTGCGTAGTGCGTGCTGCATCACTGTTTTCACTTGGTACTTATGTTCCTCAGTTAGTTGCCGGAATCGGCTACGGCTCTCCTTCCCCCTCTCACGCTGGCTCTGTCTCTGTTGCAGGCGGCCTAGCGGGCAGCGCGGCGGCCCTGCAGGGCGCCGGGTACTCGCCGGCAGCGGCGCTCACCTACCAGACGGCCGGACAGGAGGGTTCCGGCGCGCTGGAGCACCACCTGCCAGCCGGTGAGTCAGGGCGGCCGGCGGTATATCTACAGACCGCACATGTCGACTGTGCATGTACGGGACAGACCAAAACAGGACCAACAGACCACATAGACCACACGGACCACAATGTGCCTACTGCTTACTACACACTATACGAGACGGGTCAAACGGGTCATAAGGGTCGCATAGGCCACGTATATGCCTACTGCACATTCAATATAGACAAGACAGGGCATATATTCCACAATCATACACGGCACATGAGTGAGGATGCCGTTTGTTGTATAAGGGGTTGCTGAAACGGCAGAAACGGCCGGAAAACTTCAGGAGAGGGATGTAACGTAAATCGTTGATCGGCACAAAATACCGCGAGATACGGAGCATAAAAACGTCTGCTTTAGGGCGCAGGTTTAGGCCCACTTTTCGTTTTCAATCAATGGAAGGATTTGTATGGCTGTGGAGGATTGGATTGATGACGGTTGATGCCATGTGGTGACGATCAGTGCCGTTTCACATATAATCGACGCTAATGTCTTCCGACCATCCACACACTGGCGGGACAGTATGAATTATGGATTAACTGCCTCTCGTATGTATTATTCAGCTATACGGACATGGCGTGCCGAGCACTGTTTGGCCGACAGAGTGTGGCGGAGGTCCCCCCGATCGGGTTGTAGGTACGAGCTGGCTGATTGTGTCAGACAGGCACCGCGGTGGTCGGCGCGGCAGGCTGCTGGTCCTATAGCGGTCGGCCGTATAATGACCGGAACACGGGACCCCACAGCCTACAACACAGCTGCCTAGGAATAGATCCTTAGCATTGGGACAAATAGCTGAGAGAAAAGCCGAACTATCCTTATGCGCAGCTTGATAGGGGGCCATCTATGACCACAGCCGCCCATGCACATTTCAGGCCCTCACCGTTGCCACATATAGCGCAGCCCCGGCCACCCACACCCACACATGTCACATGTGCTACCGCGGATACCGGGCTAACTTTCGCCCCCTCCTCTCTCTCTCTCTCTCTCTCTCTCTCTCTCTCTCTCTCTCTCTCTCTCTCTCTCTCTCTCTCTCTCTCTCTCTCTCTCTCTCTCTCTCTCTCTCTCTCTCTCTCCCTCTCTCCCTCTCTCCCTCTCTCTCTCTCTCTCTGTTCTCTCTCTCTCTCTCTCTCTCTCTCTCTCTCTCTCTCTCTCTCTCTCTCTCTCTCTCTCTCTCTCTCTCTCTCTCTCTCTCTGCCCTCTCTCCTCTCAAGCACTCGCGATTCTGAGGCAGGTAAACCGTAAGTACGTCACCGTCTCGAACAGTCACTGAGCCCGTCTACAAGTGTACTTATAAGTTTAGCTGACCTGCTGTAGAGCGCCCGACCCGCTCGTTGCCCTGATGATGCTATGCTATCAGCCAAAGGCACAGCTGCACTCACTGACCGACACCGGGTCAATTTAAGCTGAGGACCAAAAAGAACCATTGCACATTGCCCAAGGATGACGAGGAGAATCTACAAACATGCGCACTGTTACCTCCCAATGCCTTGCAGAGCGTCTAAGCATGACCGCCCTCGCCGGCACCGCATTCGGCTGATGACATATACTCGTAAGACCGGTCACGAGACATATGAATAACATGCTGGCAGGGTAATAACTACTTTGCTGCGAGTCACGGTTCCTTGCGTGAATAATATTTCCAGCGAAAATCACTGGTTGGTTTGCGCGGTCGGGTAATATATCCCGTGACGAAAGGAGCAGCTGAAACTAGTGCCTAGCACTGTCGGTGACTACTGGCGAGTGACGGTTCGTTCAAAAAGACTGAGTTCTCGACACATGCGACAACCCAAAAGGTTTAAACCTATAATTTAGTGAAAAATTATTCGACCTATAAATGCTGTTCGTGTGTGAATGACTAAATCATCTCAAACTGGTGAAGAGAAAGTGACAGCGGACCATCACGAGGTGCTCCTCTGACAGGTGTAAAAATTTAAATGTACATAAATTACCGACCTCGGTCTACAGATACGATAATAGTACGGCTCTGCCCGCACGGCCTACCGCTCACCAAAAGTTTTTTTTTTTTTTGGAAATTTAACTCAGGTAGGTATTTGCAGGATAAGTTTTGCAACACTTTCTCCCCAGTTTAGCTTCAGCTTTCGTAAAGCGCGCATTGCGCGAACGGGTCGGCACTGCAACTGGGCGTCGGCGGCCGGCCTCGTCCGGTCCGTTTGTGCCACAGCGCAGGCGGCCGATGTCGGCACGCCAGGGGCTAGAGTATCCCCTCCCTCCAGTGTCCGCATGACCGCTCAACCAGGCGCTCACTGGTGCGCGCACCCACACCGCTGCTGTAGCGCCCGGGCCGGGCCGTCCGCACTCCGCATGCCTGCTTCACAAGGCCAATGAAGCGTACCCGTGTGGATACATGTCCTTCACGTTGTTGTCAAGTGTGCGTTGCTCACCGTTTCAGTACCTACATGGCTTGTGCAAGTATTTAAGCGTGCGTGAGTCTTCACAAAGCTACACTAAGCATGCTAATCCTTAATTTGCTTCATCGTTTCAGTGCTGTCAGACCCGGCCCAGCAAGCGACCCCATCTCAGCAGCAACAGCAGCAGCAACAGCAACAGCAGCAACAACAACAACAGCAGCAGCAGCAGCACGACGGCCAGCCGCCGGTGGGCTCGTTTACACCGCCCGGCTTCAAGTCCGAGCCGGAGGGGGGTGGCGCGCCGGCGGCTGGCGATGTCTCTCCGCCCCGCTCCGACGGCTTCCCGTCGTCGGCGGCGGCCGGCTCGGGCTACTCGGCGGCCGGCGCGTACGGCGGCTACCAGGCGGCGGCGGCAGCGGCCGCGGCGCCCTCCTACCTGGGCGCGGCGCCGCTCATGCTGTACCCGCACCTGTACCAGGGCCAGCTGGCGGCGCACGGCGGCGAGCAGCGCGACGGCTCCGGCGGGGTGGCCGCCGGCCAGTACCGTCCCGCCGGTGAGCAGCACTACCCGGCCGACTGGGCGCACCATCAGCACCAGCAGGCCATGGGCGCCGACGGCCTGGACGCCAGGTACCGGGCCGGCGCCGGCGATCCGTCCGTCTGGAGACCCTACTCGTGGCCGTCTGAGCACCGTCAGTAGCCGGTAGTGAGCGGGGCGCCGGCGACCACCGCTGCCACTCACCGCACGCCGCCGCCCCGTCAGACACCCGCGCTGGCACAGCGGCTCGCACCACTCCCGGAAATCAAAGAGTCTTATCTGTTGACGTTTTGATCATGTAGTCGGTAAATTTTCTCTCCATGACTTAGCCCGTAAGTGGCGTTGTTAGTACCTACTAGAACCGCTATAGCATCAAAAATCAAAAGAGTGTACTGTGTAGGTAATTCTGGTACGCGTCATCCGAAAAGTCGCAAAAGGCAAATAACTGACACCACATGATGTATTCATACGAGTGTGAAATCCCACCAATGTGAAATAATCTAATGCTACGATTTTTTAGTGATATCGAGAGGACAGCTGGCATCGCCGATGTAAATCAAAGCGTCGAGTGTCTGTCATTCATAGGTCGTATTTCACCGTTGAAACAGCTGGGCTGATTTTTACTGCCTGGTGCGTCAGGAGCCGCCGGAGGCAGGGTGTTTCGTGAAGCCTGATGCGTAAGGTGCAGTGCCGACCGGTGCGTCAGATTTGTTCTTCTGCTCTTATGTTTCACTAAGCTGACCCGGCGACTTTGTGCACCAAGAGCAGTCCGATGCGTCAGTGGGGAGCTGGAAGTGCCTGGTGCCGACCAGCCGGGATTTTCCGAAAGGAGGGGAGGGGGAGGGGGCGGCCCGTCGTCCGCCACATACAGCCGTCCCTGTGTGCCTGTTGATTCATGGCTATGTGCGATTGTGTTCTTCCCGAGATAGTCGAGTTAGTGTGATGGTACAGACGGATGCAATTCGGCTTCAGTTGGGGGCGGCAAGTGGAGCCGTTCCTGAGGTAAGAGTTCCTGAGGGCCGACCGGCCGGCCCTAGCGGTAATCGGTCGCCGCCGGCTGCAGTTTCAGACCGGGCCGGCGGCGCACCCCGTACCCAGCGGCCCAGCGCGCGCGCCGCCGGTCACAGCCACCGCCGCCGTTGTTGTATATGTATTTAGCGTGAGCCGGCCGTGGCATTCAGTTCCTCACGTACATTGCCGCTACTGTACAGTCAGTCCAAAGAACTATTAGCGGTCGCGGGCGACAATCGTACGTCCAAAAATGCTTACATGCATGGACAACTGTGCTGATCTGGCCGCGAGCGATTATGTTAGTTGTGTGTTTGCGTATATATCGAGTTGGGAATATGCCGATTGTTAGTGTACGTGTATGAGTCTGCGTATTTCTGTGCATGCATGCAGGTGGAGATGACTGTTGGGTGTGTGGGTGTCTGTGCATTCATACGGTCGTATTTATTCAGCACATGACTGGTGCGCCCGCCGACTGGGCGGCTGAGCTGTTTGTGTTCGAGCATAATAAACCGAACATTTTACCGACGTCTGTTGAGTTGAATCCACCCCGTATCACCTCGCACAAGTCACTAAAACAACTATTCCATTGACAGTTGATAAGTCCATGATACCATTAATTACGAACATTTCTGGGCGAGTGTTTCTATATCTCCTGGCAGGTATTTCACAGAAAACCATACAATGCATGTTTTGCAATTTCCGAATATGGAGAGAAAACGTTAGACCAGGACCAGAAAACGAATGCGAGTTACATAAGACGGGTCATTGAATCACGTTTGGTGGCGTCACTCTCGAAAAATGCATCGGCATTGTAATTTTTTATTCAATAATTCCAGAGACAAAATAGCAGCACATCAAACATCGATAAACAATATTTTTGGTGTATATCACAAACACATCAGGGCAGATAGGCATAGGCATCTCCAGTAGTGGCGACAACCGTGTCTGGAATGTGGTACAGGGAAGGGAGGAATGACTTCTGCCGGCTCACTGTCATGTAGCGAGAGCACGGCTGGGTCCTCCAAAGGCAGCAGGGGCGACGCTCGCATTGATACTCTGCCGCACACCGCCTCGAGAGATACAACGATGGACTTCGATATAGCACAACAGAACACCTAACACACAGCAGCGCAGTCGGCAAAGAACAGGGAACACGCGGCCAACAACAGTCATTGCAGATTAGGGGAAACAGCGACTGTATATATAGTCGATATAGCACGCACAGCACAACATATTGCACACAGAGCTGCGAAACAAGTCGCACAACATAACCCATACAACACAAATGGGCAAATAAAGAGCTGCACCGCAATATGACGCTAATATTTCATGCATGCACGTCGCTCAATGCAGACTCTAGCACATCGATGCACTTTGCTCAGCGAAAATACAACATTCATATATCTGACTAGATAATCAATGAACTATAAATTCCTGAGAATCGATGTGGCTTGACTGTGGCGACTAAACGTGCCAAACTATCACTAAACATATCGGAATGGCTCATGGGGCTTATCTATCGCCCTCAGCAAAACATATAATAAATATGAAAGCAATATATCAAATCGCGACACAAAAACAACAACAACGATGCACATTGCACAAAGATGCAGCCAGGCTGCGAGCCCGTCGCGTCAGGTCTGCTCTGGACGTCCAATAGTAAAAGTTTCTTTGCCTTCTACGAGTGTAGAAGTTTCGCTGTTTTCTACGACACATTGCCCCAACAGACGGTAAATAACTTTTGAAAATACCCATCTCCAATTTTAGTGTTTTCTGGACCAAAATTTTGCGAGGAATCCGATGGTGTGGTCCCCGAAATCTGAAAAATTTCCATTTTGGAGATAACACCTATTTTTTTGAAAAATAAATATTCGTCAGGCATAATAGTCAAATAAATTGGAAATATAATAAGTTAATTTTTGTAACAACACTAGAATGTGTCTAACATGAATTAGAGATATATTTTAGCTGAGATGATACTATACCTGCGCATACATGTACTACATGAACTAGTACATTAACCCTCGTCGGCCGAGAAGGGGTGGGGCGGGTGCCGCCTAATAGGGCTTTTCGCGATAGCTTAAAACTCGCTTAGGGTAGACAGCTGAAACTTGGCATACCTAATATTTTATTCAAGCTGGATCTTTTGACCTCAACTGCGTTTTCAGGTCAGGTCAGGTCACTGACCTATGACGTCATAAATGAGCCTCTGCGAGGTCCTCAGATGTTGCAACTTTGCAACGCCCTCAGTGCCAGAGGAACTTTCACAGGAAGATGAAACTTACAGGACGTAGTATTCTTCAGAGGTCTCACAACTTGTATATCTCGGATTTAACCTAAATGTCACATGAGGTCAGGTCGGTCACGTGACCTCACCATTATAAGTAGTGGTGCCAATTTCATGAAATTTCAATTCCAATTCCGATCCAATTCCAAGAAATTGCCAAGTAAATTTCCAATTTTGTCCAAAGCGGGGGCTATTCCAATTTTTAACGATTTTTGCATTTTTTGCGTAAATTTTAAAAGTGTTTAAAAACGTTTTAAAGGCCTCCGTTTTAAAATTTTAAATTTTAAAGGCCTTGTGTTCCGATTAATTTCCAAAAAATGTTAAGAATTCCGTCCAAATTCCAAATTGGAATTGGACAAAAATTGGAATTCCAAGAAAAGAAATTCCGATTGGCACCAATAATTATAAGTCAATGGGGGAAATATGAAAACTGTTATTTTGGCGCCGGTAATGATCTAAAACTATCCCCATATGATCGGACCTTACAAGGAGTACATGAAACCACGATTTCATGTGCTTGGGACAGTTTTAGATCATTTCCGGCGCCAAAATAACAGTTTCATATTTCCCCCATTGACTTATTATGGTGAGGTCACGTGACCGAACTGACCTCATGTGACATTTGGGAAAAATCCAATATATACAAGTTGTGAGACCTCTAAAGGATACTAGGTCCTGTAAGTTTCATCTTCCTGTGAAAGTTCCTCTGGCACTGAGGGCGTTGCAAAGTTGCAATTTCTGAGGACCGTGCAGAGGTTCATTTATGACGTCATAGGTCAGTGACCTGACCTGACCTGAAAACGCAGTTGGCATCGGATTCCTCGCAAAATTTTGGTTCAGAAAACACTAAAATTGGAGATGGGTATTTTCAAAAGTTATTTACCGTCTGTTGGGGCAATGTGACGAGCGGAGTCTTTACTCATTACTGTCGATGCATCAGAGCTCTTTTCCAGAGCTCACACAGAGACTGATGACTACTGACAATCTGTTCACATCCTGCATTCCCTGATTCAGCGACGTTTCTTTGTCATCACATATGACCGTCCTTAGATAGGTTTTACCATTCAGTTCCCGGATGTTGAGCCTGCTGACGTCACTGGATTCGAGGTAACTGACTAAAGACGTAGACTACGTAAAATAACGGTTTTGTTGTCTCTTGACTAGGTATATAATCACTCACAATAGCTCCTAACGGTCATGGACAAAGGTCATCTCATAAACAGAAACATTACTGCTACGAGGAAATGTTGTTTGCTCATAAACCTCTACATCCAATGGTGCAAAGCGCAATTGCGGATATTCTGGTAGGAATGAAAAAAGTGTTACAGGCCGTTAGAGATCTGAGTGGTCACCTGAGAGGCGTCCTCGACACGTCTCCACTCGCCTTTACTCGTCGTCGTCGTCGGCGAACCCGTAGGCGGTGCCGACGCGCTGGAAGAACTCGGCCAGCGCCTGGCGCAGGGCCGGCTCGGCGGCGTGGGCGGTCAGTGTGCGCACACTGGGGTGCACGGCCGGCAGCAGGAGGCGCAGCGTGGTGTCCGACTGACGAGCCACCAGCTCCAGCATCGAGACCACCATCTCGGTCCACACGCGCTGCTGCGCCTCGCTGTCCTGTGAACAGGTGGAGTGGAGTTAGTACAGCTGTAATCGCATACACGAAGGGAACACAGACACTGAGGTAGACTCCACACGCATACAGATGGAGCAGCATTACACAATCAGCCGTTTGTCAGCTTAGTGCTGACAAGTAGAAACGCAAAAATGGAGTCTCATTTGGAAACAATTCTAGACATTCCGTAGACTGTTCCTGACTCTGAAGTATATTTCCAATATTTCATTTTGATACGATGCTATACAGACAGTGCCGGTTCAAGCACACAGGCTGAGCACACCGGTTGGATTTATGGCACATCTTCTGTGGTCTGCGGAGCCGCAGCGGTTGTGCAGTGACACGCGTGGATCCGCGGATGGCGGTGGGCTCAATTAGAGCCGGCGTGACGGACGGGCCGACGGCACGACACAGCCAGTGGCATGGCATTGTCAACGGCGTCGTATCTATGTATATGTGTGTAACGTGCGGACACATATGTACACATTACACATCGCTAATACATGCAGCCCATGTGATTGTACACACAGCCATGCGCCGCCATGCCGTCTCTGCACCAGTAGCTGCAGCAGAAGACACGGCGCGGATTTTGCGAGCCATCCTACCCGGACAGGCCGGTCTGACCAGTTTTTGGGCCGATGGCAGCCGGGGGGGGGGGGGGGGGGGCAGAGAAGGCAGAGAGCGGCCGCTGTCGGAGCTGATGATCCGACCGCTGACCGTTCCTCAGGAGCCGAACCCACACTGACTGATCACCGGCCGATAGACGACCGAGAGCCACTCAGGGGGCGGCCGCGGGGCCGGTGCCCGCGGGCTCTCCGCGTGCAGGGGGTCAGTCACCCGACGGCACGGCGCAGACAGTGGTAACGGCAGCCGCAACGGGACGCCAGAGTCTCACACAAAGACACGGCTGACGAGCGGCCGCCGTACGGAGGCCGGGAGAGCTTAAACCGGTCCGCGTATTGCGTGCCGGGATTATTTATTTCTGTCAGTATCACCCAGGAATCTGAACCATGGCGAGGAATGTGTGAGGAGTTAACAGCAACAGAATCTCCGCAGCCGACAGGAAGATACCGGCTTCTTTTTCAGTCCTTTCTAGGATAAAACATACAGGAAAAATGTTTTCAGGAGACATTTTTCGCCTTTGCATTTTTCCAACTTCGAACAAAGGTGCACGGAGCTATTAAAATAATCAGACATTCACGATCAAAAAGTATGGAATTCTTATCCTATCTACAATGCTCAGTCACGAATTTGGTGGTCCAGTCACGGGATAGAGCGATCGTAAAAATAAATATAACTTCTCGTTCCTATTTATCAGCTTACATAGAAGCTTGCCCCATGTTCAGGGGCACAAGTGGACGGTGTATTGTAGGTTATCAGTTCCCCAAAGGGTCGTAAAACGCTCCATCGAGCTCAATTCTTGGGCCAAGTAACGACAAGCTGTATGAATTATGAAACACTCAAAGGTCGCCGTAAAGTGTAAACCAATCATGACGAAATCTCTAGGTCATATTTAAGGTCAGATCGAAGAAGAAACAAGTAAAAAAAAAAAAAAACAAGCAGGGATAGCACAAGAAATTAAGAAACATACAGTAGAAGCAAGGTCAGCAGAAAAAAAGATCCTTAGTCCCTCATTCGCGGGTCATCCTCCTAATAGGTCCCTAGAGACGTAACAGCTTTGAACGTAATCGGCCCTCCCATTCGTGAGGCATAAAGTGTGAACAAGTTCAGTGACACTCTTGCCCTGAGACATGAAAATGCACTGCCAAGTGGCTTCCCGCCGCCATATTTTACTGGAGCGCCATCGACGCATTCCTTGCGAGTTTTTTTTTCAAACAGTATACTATTTTAATACCTATGATAGTAAATCAACACGTGAAAAGTGCCGAGACGATTAAACATAAGAAACAAAGTAGCTGATTTCATGATTGAAGGAAAGAAATGATCTATTTCATGAGACCGCTCGACTGATGTTGATCGGTCGAGCGGTTACCATGATGGTTATGAATAACGTCTCGGAACCAGAACGGGCCACGATACCGTGTTTTCTCAACGAGTCATTAACCACAGAGAAAGTCGCTCGCTCGCTGCAACCGCTTGCTCATTCACAAATACTGGATGACTTTTAGACGGGTGACACATACGGGCGTGACGAAGAGCGCGGATAAGTTCGTAAAAAAAAGATAGCACGGTCGTAACAATATCTCGGTTCTGTTTAATAACAGAAGCTGCGGTCATGCTGTGTTTACAGCAGGTTTAAGCCAGGCTGATAACATTACAGAAAGCTAGCTGCCAGTATTGGTGAGAGCACTGACCTTGATGAGGCTGGTGCGGCGCTGCTGTTCGATCTCGGGCGGCACTGGCTCGGAGGTCCCCTGCGCGGCGGCCGTCCGTCCGGCCAGGAACGGGTTCCGCCGGCCGGCCGCCGCCACCAGCGGCATCGAGCGCGCCGGCTTGCGCCTCTTGTACTGGCCGATGAGGCTGGAGAGCTGCTGGTCGGTCACCACGCTGTACACCTGGTCGTCAGAGTCGGCCACACCCGAGTCGGTCGGCACGTCCTCCTCCTCGTGATCGGAGCAGTCGGGCGACTCCGGCGGCGGCTCAGACTCCGCGCCAGGCTCGGCCCCATCGCCCGGAGATGGTTCCGTATCCAGGGTCCGAGCCAGGTCAGCGAAACAGAATGGTTTCGGAGGACCGGCGAGCGGCGACCCGGCCTGGGCGGGCTGCGGCGGCGGCTCCGGCGGGCCGCCACTGCCGCCCGGGTAGTCGTCACCCTGCGCCAGCAGGAAGAACACGGGCTGGTGGGCGGCGCCGTCTGCCTCCGGTCCGTCCGCGAGCCGCACGATCTGACAGTAGCGCTGGCAGCAGTCGGTGAGCAGGGCCCGCAGCTGGGTCAGGTGCGCGCCGCCCGCCTCCGCCACGGCCAGGTGCAGGGCAGTGACGGCGCGCAGCGTCCAGCCGGCGCCCGCCTGGCCGTACAGGTTGGCCGCCCGCTCCATCCCACAAACCTTCTGCACCAGGAACTTGAGGCCCGGCCGGCTGTCGAAGGCGACCGCCGCGCGCTGAGAGCCCTCCAGGGCGTCCATCAGAGTGGTCACCTGGTGGGGGCTCAGCTGCTGGAGGAACCCGGGCAGCGCGCCAGGGGTGGAGCCGCCGCACGGAGACTGGCCGGCCGAGCCCACCGGAGAGAGGACGTTCGCCAGGCTGGAACATTCGAACGTTTCCTGCATATACGGCGACTTGTCCAAAACCATATAAAATGAATTTTATGCATCGCCAGATAGAACATGAATAAAATCCTACGCAGATAAAATCCAACGCAGACGATATCTATGCATACATACAACCAAATGGTAGAGGCATTTATCACGATTTCACCAAACATGTAATAAAGGAATCACTGAATTTGAGTTTCTCAAGGCAGGATTTCAGGAATAAAATCATCCTGAAACAATCGTCCCTAGGGCAAACAAGTTCGACCACTTCGACCTCCTTGCGTATTTAATTCGCCTTGGTGCGATCGTAAGCAACACCACACAAAGCGAAACATAACGACACTCTCACGACACAACACAGCTGTCTCACTGCAGCACCACCGACCTGGGTACCAGGTGAGGCGATCCGTGCAGCAGGATGGCGCCCACCGTCTGTAGCAGCACCTGGTGCGCCAAGAGACCGACCGCCAGGTGACGGAGCGGCACCCGCGCCGGACTCTCGTCTCCCTCCTCCGAGCCGAACAGCAGGAACACGTAGGAGCGGTCCTCCGCGTCCGGGTTCTCACTGGTCTCCAGCACCGGAGGACGCTGGCCGTCCAGCAGGAACACCTGGGAGGGCCGTGAGCCGTGAGGCCGCGGTCACCGGGGCGGGGCGGGACGAAGGAAGCGGCAGCTAACACAGCTGGTAAAGTAGAACAGGTCCCATACGAACACTGTACTGTTCGCATGGGAGAGCACAAAGCACAGCACAAGTGGTGCGACAGGACCTGGCTGATGGAGGAGCAATACTGGCTTGATTGGCGAGGTACTGACCTGACAGGCTGTACTACCCTGACCGCGGTACTGACCTGATGACGGGGAAGGGGGGAGTGGGGTAACTGCCCTGTCCGCTGTACTGACCTGATGTGCCAGCTGTCGCAGCCGGTCGCTGTCTCGGCCGGTACAGTCGCGCCGCGCAGCCACCTTCACCCGGCCCAGGTCGCCGTAAAAGTTCTCAGAGTCGACTCGGAAGGCGGCCATCAGCCGCCGGAGCGGCCGGAGCGTCAGCGCCAGCGCCCGGTGGAGCGCCGTCACCACTGGCTGCCAGCGCTGTTCGCCGCAGAGGCCGCCGGCGCCGGCCGACAGCGCCACGTGCCTGACAGACACACACACAGACACACGGGTTAGACGGGGACCGCAGTCATTACAGACAAGCGCTGCTCACCGCACAGGCCGCGGGCGCCGGCCGACAGCGCCACGTGCCTATCAGAGAGACAGTCACATAGGGTTAGACGAGGACCGCCGACACTAAAGATAGCCAGCACTGCTCGACAGGGCGATTTGCCTCTCTTCAGACACACACAGACACACAGACAGCGGGTCAGAAGGGTCAAGGTGATCGGTCACAAGTTGCCTCGCGGTCCTCGCATAGAACCGACCCGACAGGAGTTCTGTCTGGTGATAGGTCAAGTAAGCCGACTTCGTATCAGCGATACTATCTTGAGGGGCACACGGCCATTGAGTTTAGTGTCATGCTATGCGAGCACATCTGCATCATGCATGAGCCGCTATTTGTAGTTACATATGAGGGGCTTCTACTGAACTGCTTAAAATTCATCTAGCTAGGGCCTAGGAAATGTAAGACAATACATTTCGGGCTAAAAAAGACCACGTCTTCGATGCATCAACTTCAAGGATATATTAGGCATGTAGCTTGATGTTTGTAGACTTGGAAATTCACGTATTTCTGGACTTTTCATTTCCGTAATTACCATACCTTGTCGCTTTATTTTTACCACTAAATAGAACTGTTGGTTTTGGTACGGATGCGCCCTTCGCGAGAAAAATGCGCTGATATGAAACCAGGAAACATACAGCGCGACATTTATCATGTGGTGAATTGAGCGTGATTAAGTCGGCCACTAATGCCACCGCAGTGGAGTGACCACTGGTGCGATGTGGTGGCGACGGCGGTGGCGCGCGCGCGCCGCGCCGACCAGCGCCGTGTGGCCGGGGCCCGCCCGCCGCCGCCGCAGCGTTACACAATGGCCGTGACGTTACGTGTGGCGCCGCCTTAACCGTCGCGCGCCACATTGGAAGGGGAGAAAATAGCGCCGCGCCGGCGCTCGTAAACGGGCGGCAGTCGGGCGGCGGCTGCGAACCGGGCCGGCGTTCGCACATTCGGGCGCCGACGTATCCGGCCGGCGGCCATTGCCAGTATCATTCATGGTAGTTATCAAGTGGAGCGGCGTGACGGTGGTCAGCAGGCCGCGGCAGGTCGGCGGCCCTAACACAGAGAGTCTGACACAGGAGCCGTAACAGACAGACTGACTGACACGGCCGCCGTAACAGTCTGACACGGTGTAACAGAGAATTTGACACGGCCGCCGCAACAAAGTCTGACACGGCAGCCGTAACAGACTGAAGGTCGGCAGCTGTAGCAGACAGACTGACACGGCCGCTGTAACAGGCAGAGTGACACGCCAGCCGTACCAGACTGACAGACTGACACGGGAGCCGTACCAGACAGCCTGACACGGCCGCCGTGACACAGTCTGACTGACATGGCGGCCGCGGCCCGGGGCACAGCTCACTACAGCCAATCCTGCAGCCCATCCCATCTTACTGCACATCCAACTTGGCAGTCAATCTTGCGGAGCATCTAACGAGTTACAGCTCAATCCACAACGTTAACTACTGCGCCACAGCTTCTACATGCAACACAACTCCTGGAACCATCACAACGCGCTGCGACACCACAACAGGCAACATCCTGCGCCCCGCAGCACAGCACACTGGAAGGCATCACACCCACGAGCGCACAATGGGCAAACCCTGGAGGAAATCACACTATACAGCACATCACAACCGCAGCACACCCTGCATCACATCGCACTCAGCAGTGCATGTCGCAACGCATCGCAGGATGTCTAAGAAACGGTGACCACAGCGGCGCTACGAGAAATCGTCTGAGAGCTGTGATGCCGAGAGCGGCGATTCACACATTTCAAACGGTCCAAAAGTCACATCACCCTTTTACAACAGGGTGATATGTCGGTTCACTTCTCTCTAAAAGGACCCAAACACACACGTTCGCGGTTAACCCGCGCCCCGTAGGGCTACCGGCGGACCCTACCACCCGTAGGGGGGGGGGGCCGTTTCGGCCCCCCCCCTAAGATCTCGGAAAGTTACCGGCCGATTTTCAAAATTCAAACGGCGTTCGATAGCCCCACCCAGGAACTACCTTGTGACCAAATTTCATTGACCTAGGTCAAACCGATGACGTCACAGGTCAGGTCAAAGGTCAGATTTTCACCGTTCACAGGCAATTCAAGAAATGTGCTGTGAAAAAGAGTAAATTGGTAATTTATTGAAAACCATCGATGGTACATTGTTCGTCAAACACATACTTTGCTATCTGAGGTCACTGATACCAGGTCAGGTCACAGCGAGGTCAGGTCACCGGGGGTCACAATATGAATGTGTCGTGTGATACATGTTTTATGGTCCATTTTACATGACAAATGCGATTATGTGGGTTAGGCAGCCTTTTGGGCCAGCCTAGGTCACGTTTTGGTGAAGGTCAGGTCAAGGTCAGGTCAAATTAGGTCAAATTTTAAAGTTGATATTTTTGCATAAAATGGGTATCGATTCGATGCAGCTCGTCACGGGGAGTCTAATGGTGGTCTTCGTTTTGCTCTCCGAGTTCTAGAATTGCCAAAAATTGAGTTTGAAAATTTGACCTCATCATTTTTGAACAGTTTTTTCGCTATAACTTGGCCAAAAAACGAGGTATCGATCTGAAATTTGGTATGTAGATAGAAGACGGTAGGCACTATCACATATATTCCGGTTTTTTCGAAACTCAAAAAACTTTTTGGATTTTTTGGTGAATATATAAAAAAAATGTTTTTTTTTATTTTTGGGGGTCAAAACTCAAAAATTTCAAAAATTCGAGATTGCAGTTTTGTAGCCCTGTCAATTCTACACCTTTTATGTTTTGATCATTTTTCTGTATCTTCAAAGCTGTAGTCCTGACAGGTCTTCTCGCGAAGGTCTTTTTTCGGTCGAAAATGACAGAACATGACGTCACTCTGACGTCATTTGTGGCCAACCTATCATAGCCTCTGGAAAAATTTTTGGTCATAATGTGTAAAATTGATGCCCGGAGGGGTCCTGAAAGTTTGGTGGCGATATCTCCAGCCGTTTAGGAGATATCTACCGAAAAGGACAGGGGGGGCCGTTTCGGCCCCCCCCCCTACGGGGCGCGGGTTAAGGAAGAAGTGTCATAGAAAGATGGCACCTGCAACAAAAGGCATCTACATGCTCAGAGCCACGCTTCATACCTAAGGCCTAAGGCCCACCAGATTTCATTATACCAGTATAGCGCCTTTTGGGGCGACTAACGGAGCGAGCGATAGGGTGAGCCTTGCACGTGCGAAATTTCGAGGGGGTACCTCCAACTGACTTGTGCACGGCACCCTACTAACCGGTCTCTAGCGATGTGCCAAATTTGAGCACAATTGGCCCAGCCGTTCTCGAGATCTGGAAGCGGCACCCTGCACGTGCGCACGTGCAGAATGGGTCCCAACTGACTTGTGCACGGCACCCTACTAACTGGTCCCTAACCGTGTACCAAATTTGAACGCCATCGGTCCAGCCGTTCTCGAGATCTGGAAACGACCCCTGCACGTGCGCACGTGCAGCAGCACCCCAACTCTGGCACATGGATATGCAGTGCCTAGTGGGTGCCTACCTACATGCCAACTTTCAGCGCAATCAGCCAAGTAGTTACCGAGATATTGCAACAATTACAAAACTGACACCTCTTCGTTTTGCGCGTGGCACGTGCATAAGGGGTCACCCACATGCATCGGGAATAGTCCAATACTTGGTAGAAGGAATGAAGCTACCCTACAAAAATTACCCCGTGTAAATCGGTCAAGTGGTTGCTGAGATATAAGCCTCGCAAAAGCGTCCGCACGGCCGGCCGGCCGGCCGGCCGCTCATACTCAGAAATTTCCGTTAATCTAAGGAAAGACTACGCTCGCTTCGCTCGCTCCGTAAAAATCGGAGAATCACAGGTCGTTCTCTCTTTGCCATCCTCATACAGTAGACGGTACATGAAAGGATAAGAATTACACATATCATCCGGGTGAGCGACTACCCTGACACATATCCCGGCTGAAATCACGGCCTGACATCACAGTCTGACGCGGCCGGGGCGGTCGGTCGGCCGTCCGTCCGTCCGTCAGCGTCGCCTTCCGCCGTGCACCCGCCGCTCCCCGGCCGGCCGCCCGCCACTCTATTTAGGCCGGTGATGAATGTGAAAATAATTGTCACCCGATGCGGGCTGGGGGTCGGCGGCGCCGGCCCGGCCTGGGAACCGATCACCGGTGGCCGGACGGCGCTGGCTGACCCGGCGGCCCCGGCTACTGGTTACGGCCGGCCACCGGCGGGGGCGGCACTGAGCGCTACTGAGCGACACGGGCCTCCGCCAGCGGCCGAACGGACACCAGCCCTCACCGCAACTCTTTGGTGGTCGGTGGTAACACGGAGAGCTACACGGCGGTGATAAAATGACACCCAGAGCTGATCGAACATGGCGTGATTGCTCAGTATGTTGCTGCCAGCCTGCGTATATGAGGACCTTTAGAGACATCTGCCATATAATGGGAAAGGTTATCGTTTTCTATTAGGTATAGAGTCAGAAGTCAGAACTGTCAGAAGCACTGACAAACTCAATCGAATAGATCTGTCGATGCTCATTGCATTCATCATGAAACCACCCTGTCTTTCAAACCTCTTCATGAATTCTTTGAGGCATAACCTTGAGGTTTTAATTATCTTTAGTCGAGCGCTGATTTGGTTCAGTAAGGAACGGACCAGAGACCTGCGCCACCGCGGGACCAGCGCGGCCCACCGGCGGATCAGTGCAGAGCGGCGCCGCTTCATCACAATTTGTAGCCTCCTACCGACAATTACCGGGCCCAATTGGGCTGTTGTTTTTATAGGACGGAAGCAATGCGCGTATGGCGTGGGTCGGCGGCATGGCATAATGAAGCCGTGCACGCCGCGCCCTCTGATCGATCGCGCTCTAATTGCTGAGCGGACCACATCAGCTCCAGGGGAGACGCACTGTGGGTGTATTGTGTGCAGGTGTATGCAGGCCGAGGAGAGATTCACTGCCTTTCTATCCTGGTGAGCCATCAGATACTCAACAGAGCAGAAGCATAACCCATGGCATACGAGCACGGTACGGCGAGTCATTCTCGACATGTTAATCGTTAAAGGTATAATTATCAGGTGATTTACTCTGGTCCTGGAGAAAGTGTTGAGACTGTGGGATACCATACATAACTACGGGAGAAGGAACCACTATCAATTTCAGTCCTGAATCGAAGAGAGAGGGTCGAGAGTGAGAGAGTGAGAGAGAGAGAGGGAGAGAGAAAGAGGGAGAGAGAGAGAGAGAGAGAGAGAGAGAGAGAGAGAGAGAGAGAGAGAGAGAGAGAGAGAGAGAGAGAGAGAGAGAGAGAGAGAGAGAGAGAGAGAGAGAGAGAGAGAGAGAGAGAGAGAGAGAGAGAGAGAGAGAGAGAGAGAGAGAGAGAGAGAGAAGAGACAAGAGAGGAGGGAGAGAATCAACTCCAGTGACGTGAGGCAATGCAAATCGAGCCGCCGCCCTCTATCATTACACGATAAACTTGGTTGGCAAAGCCCGCAGTTAGTGAAGCATCTAAGCGCTGCGGTTCACCGCCACATGACAATTACGGGTATGATTTTTTGCCACCGCCTTTTTACACCTAGAGCCAATATTATGATAGAGCGGCGCGCGGCGGGGCCGGCCGGCCGTCGCGCCGGTGCCTATTAGGCGGTGCGCGGCGTGGCGCGGCGCGCGGCCTCGATTGTTTATCTGCCCGGGTGGCGGTGCAGAGGGGATCGGACGGCGTTTTTGCCGTCAGCGACCGACAGCTGATCGTCGACAGCGTGTAATCGGAGCCGGCCGCTGTCCGATGGTATTTAATCGGGCCCGGCGCCGGGCGCGGTGGCCGGGTCTTCTTTCAGTGAACAGGGAGCAGGAGAGGCGGCGGTGCATTCTGCCGTGCACGGAGGCCTGTCCGCAGCACGGTAGCACGGCCACCCGATGACCGTGCATGGAGCAGCCCTATTAGTCAACCAGGAGCACGGGAGGAAACAACGTAATTTCCCTGGTTAAAATTAGGACCGTCAAAATCACGGCTCAAATTACACTGAACTCGACCTCCGAATTATCAAATGAAACTACACGGAAATCAAATTCCAAAAGGGATGGGGGTAACGGTGAACCTTGCATAACATCACATGAGAAGATCTGGTCTGCGCTCTGTACCTATACATGTTACCAGCAAATTAGGTGCAAAGGACGTTGAATTATCCAGTAAATGGGACCCACAACTGACAAACAGGACGCTGTCCTAACTCCTTTGCCAACATGTCGTGCTATTGCCCCTAATGACATGAGTGTCAATTTTCATTCCTGCTTATGTCCACCAGTGAGTGGCAATTGAATTTTATTTCCTGGCTAGCCGCATAACCACGCCTAATGGGTGGGAGTCACACCTGTTCACGCGGTCGCAGGTATTATTTAATTTTCCTTTGGGACCGCCGAGCGAAAAGACTTACCCAATGCTGTCACGCCGCTTGGTTTCCAACAAATATAAAATAGTTTCACGACCCAGCACGGGTAATACTTAAATTTTCAGATGGGTGAACACTATTCCATGTTTAAACTGCCGAGCTCTGCCGCCGCCGCCATGCCGCCACTCGCAGGTGAAATGTGACAGCGTGTGACAGGTGACGGCGTGTGATCGGTGACAGCGTGTGACAGGTGACGGCGTGTGATCGGTGACAGCTTGTGACAGACAGCGTGTAACAGACGGCGTGTGACAGGTGACGTCGTGTGACAGACGACTACGTATGCCAGGTGACAGGAGCCGGCGTGTGACAGACGGCGCCGTGTGACAGACGACTGCGTGTGACAGGTGACACGGGACAAACGATGGCGTGTGACGCTGCCGCGCGCCGTACCGGCCCCGTTGCGTGCCGCCGCACCGTTGTCTCTGTGACGGCTCACCGGCTCGTCGTTTTTACGTCATTTTCCTCTCCGCTGGGCCGCCTTCATTACAAACGACACATGAACATTGGGTCATTTGGATGTTGGACGGCGGCGGCCGTAAAGCGGCGCACCTTTTTGTGCTGCTGCCGACTGGCTCTGTAGTGAGGCGCCGCTCGGGACCGGCAGCCGGCCAGGAAACGCGCCGCCCGCCGTCCGGCCGTTCAGCGCGCCCTAATTCGGTTACGGATGGCCGTAAAAAGAATGGAATGAGCTGATGTTTCCGGTACGCCTTATACAATGTGCAATCAGTTAGAGCACATTAGATGCAGCCGCGTTTTAGTGTGTGGTGCAGGATTAGTGTTCACAAGAAACCCGGGACGCAAGGTATGGCGGTTCCACAATCACGAACGCGTAACCGCCCGACCGCGCGCGCCGTACTGTGGTATTTTCATAAAGTGACAGACCACACCGGGACCACTGTTGCAACCCGTTTCAACTCCGGAGCTATCCAAATGAGTTGGGCATCCAAACACTGAACATTGGGCAATTAACGAAAAACAAATGAGAGCGGCCTATGCAGGTATCACCGCAGACATCATTACTCATTAGTCAGATAAATATTAACGGGGTCGTTTTACATTTAAAATCTCATAAGTCTGCAGAACGTCTCTAAAGATGAGTTTCAATTCAATTCAAAATGCACCTCAATACAACCTTCCCAAATATGAAACAAGTAAGGAGCCTCTAGTTTCAATCTATCGAAGAAAAAATGTGAAAGCAGTGATCTGCAATATTACGACTGTAAAAACTTGACGCATTCAATCCGATGATGATGAATTTAGGTTTTCGGGCGCCCGGACTACAGTGGTCATCGGCGCACGCATTCAATCCTTTAGCATGACAGGTGTCACAAGCGCTAACAACGAGGCCATTTACAATGGCTTTCTCTGAAAACAAAATTACCGGGGTACTCGTATATTATCCGAGACTTTTGAATAGACGAATTATTTTCGGGTTATAGCAAAGCTGGTCAGAAAAATAAACGGCACGTTATGCTATGATAATACGATTAGTATTCAAATGGGAAGCGAGGCCGTAGAGGTCTAGTTAAAGCAAAAAATACGATTCTGCGATTACGTGGCTCCAAACATGGACCTCGCTAGGAAAACTCTTTGAACACAGAAACAGGAAAATGCTTTGAAGTACACTAGCCCTATCTATGAGGAATTGGTCCTCTTGCGTGTGCTTGCACCGTTCCCTGCTTCTATCCTCAGGATACTGAAATCCTTCTCCTCCACGCCGCAACCCCCCTCCGGGCTGGACAGGCAACTTTATCTCATACGGGCTGCTCCCTTGGAGCGGCACCGCTGCTCCCGAGGGAGCGCACCCCGTAGCCGGGTGCAGTGAGTGCCTTGGGGCTGGGTGGCCTGTCCTCTGGACGGGCTCAGCCCCGGCAACTCACAAGGGTGCCTGCCCAGACCAATGTCTACCCCTATATCCTATCATCCTCCCGGCTCTGAAATGGTCCCATTGGACCGAAAGGGCCTAACCAAAAAGAAAAAAAATGTGCTTGCGAGCTTTTGCTCCACACGATAGTGATAATAAAGGTAGTGAGAGCCGAGCCTATCTGCCGTCTAACGTGATGCATAAATCACTCCGCATTATTTGGAAATGACTTAGTTAAAGAAAATTCAAAACCAACACTTTTTTTTGCATTCTGATATTAAAGTGGAGTAAGATTTTTGCCGGTCGATGAACGATGGCCGTTAGTAAGAAGAGTTCAGTCGATTTTACATTTGTTTGTGCTTCTCCACGTACCACCTTATGAAGTTTCAATGTAAGATTGAGCAGCTTACATTAGATATATAATGTCAATTGTCACACATATTTGGGATAGCGGTTACAAGTGAGAGCACCGTGGATACTGGAGTGCAGTGTCGAAACAGTCATTGACAATCGCAAACGGCCGTGCCTGTGTTATGGGGTGCAAGGTGCATACGGAAAGAGCACTCTAGCGACATTTGGTCCAGCAGCTGGCCTCCACCTCCCATGCAGACTATAAGCCGTTAACTATCACAGCAAAGTGCTGTTCAAAGTTCTGCACGCCGCCTGGCTCACAACCACGGAACACCCCCAGAGTAGATGGCGGGACGAGCAGAGCTCTGGCCCGCAGACTGCAGAGTGACGAAGATCAGCATCCACTGGCGGATCCAGAAAGGCGGTCTTGGCCGCTGCGGGGAGGACAAACTCCCAAAAAGTTGCTCCAAATAAAAAACTCAAGGAATTTCGATTCCTCAGGCGACTGCTGTGCAGTTTAAAACAAACTTTTACTAACAAATGTTCCGTTTTCGTTTTATTCTCGAAAAACCGCAAATTTTCGTCGATTTCGGGCGCTGTGGGGGAGGGGACATTTGTCCCCAATTCCCCCCTCCCCCCCTGGATCCGCCAGTGCCTGCATCCACGGCCGTGAGTCACCGCGGTCCGCGAGTAGAGCGAATAAGACGCTCCGCCGTTATGCTGACGAGAGGATAAGATGATCAGCTGCTGCTAATGTCGATAAGATGCTCTGCTGACGAATAATATTCGTCCTTCCCTCTCATTTATCCTGAACCATGCATATTGAAATTAGTCAAAACCACTATCAGTCAAAATTACATATAAGCGAACAGAAACACAGGCTGCTGACGGTACCTGATGCAGGCGCAGCCCAGCCGGGAGACGACTTCGTGCGGCTGACAGGCGCACTCGATCATGACCAGGAGCAGCTGGCGCAGCATCAGGTCGACGCCGGCCTGGTGCCGCTCGGACGCGCCCGCTGAAACACGGAATAGCTGATCAGCTTCGGCCTTCACGATCACCATAAGAGGGCAAATAGAGGCAAAAATATAAGCAACAGTTACAGGCAACAAATGTAAATGAAGATCAAATGCCTACACAATTCTAGAACAGCAACACACATAGGAAACATACATGCGATCATCTGCTCGTGGATGTTGACATCATTCATCAGACATCATAATAGCCCTTCACCGATTCAAATGACGCACTTTTGCCAGTTGAGACCGGGCGCTTTCACTGGCTGACAGACTGGTGACGTAACAGAACTCAAACTTCCCACCGTCACTCATGTGCAGAGCACTGACGTTGCTCACCTGGCACTCGGGTGAGGTAGAAGACCACCAGGTCGGTGGCCATGCCGCCGCACTGTTTGAAGTTGGTGGCGAAACTGCTCCAGCCGCCGTGACGCCGGCTCGTACTGCGCAGCCAGCCCTGCATCATCGGCAGCAGCAGGTGGTTCACGCAGTAGATACCGAACTCGGCGCCTGACGGAGACCAGATAACAGTCTGCTCAGTGTCGGTTACCATACATACACAATATCTACATCACAATGACATTCTGGATTGTGTGAATCCTTAACGAGTGTAGCAATGGAAACAGCCTTTCATCTGACTGGCCGACGGCCAATGGGAGCATAATCAGACCCTTTTCTGGCACCGGTTGACCAGTTAGAACAGCCTCTTACCCGGCTGGTCAGCCAGCGATGAGCAACCGCGGTAGTGGGAAGAGCGTCCTTCCTGACTTTGCCCCTTACCTGGCTGATCTGCCAGAGAGCGCAGCAGCAAGAACAGCGTCTCCATGGACGTCTGCGGCTGGTGTGAACAGTCCCTTACCCGGTTGGTCGGCCAGTGATCGCAGCAGCGAGAAGAGCGTCTCCATGGTCTGCGGCTGGTGGGAACAGTCCCTTACCTGGCTGGTCGGCCAGCGACCGCAGAAGCGAGAAGAGCGTCTCCATGGTCTGCGGCTGGTGGCGTCGCGCGCAGGTGGCCGTGGCGCCGGCCAGACCCTCCAGCAGTAGGTACCACACGCGCAGGATACCTGCAGAAACGATACACGGTCAAGAAATTTGAACTTATGTGTATAAAGGAGGCCACAAGGAGGTCAACAATTTCAAGCACACTAAGATATATTATATGTGATTAGTACAAAGCAGAGACGTCAGAGCGCAGAATCACTTCGTTCGATGAAATGTGAGGCATTTTCTATCGCCAACACGTCAGGCAAGCACATAACGTATGACGGGTGCAGCGTCCCTTCCCTCTGTGACCGGTACAGCGTCACTCCCTGTTCTGACCGTTGCTGCGCCCGCCCTGTCCCCTCCCACCGTTCTCACCACTGGCGTTATCCAGCTCCTGCAGCTCTGTGACGCCGCCCTCCACGGCCAGACGCTCGTAGGTGACGGGCGACACACGGTCCGGGTCCAGCTCACAGTCCGGGTCCGGGTCCACGTCCGGGTCCGTACTGAACTCGTCCGTAAACACCGGGTCCACCGTCAGAGGTACCGTGTTCAGCTGGATCCTAAGAGAAGGAACATACACTGTCAGGGGCAACGAATATCGTATTCAGTCGGATCCTGTGAGAGGGAAAGCATGTTCACGTGCATTCTCCTACAAGAAGATAACTTTTATATCGTACCGGTAAGCCTAACGGTGCCTTCTCTTACCACAGGTACAAATCACGCATACTATTACTCCTATCTATAATCTATATGAAATAATTTCATTAATTGCAGAAATAGCACTTTTGCTGCAGCGCCGGTACCTGTGCGCTGCGTGGAACACCGGACAGTTGCGCATTCCGTGCATGGAGGCCAGGATGGCGTGGCAGCGCGCGATGTAGCGGAGCGCCGCCAGGCCCAGGTCGCGCGAGTCGTCATCCAGGGCACCCAGCTCGATCACCTGTTCGGGCTCCTCGCCGTCTCGGAGCTCGGCTGGTGGACGGAACGGAGCGACGGTCAGGCTGGAGCATCACTCAATGAGAGCATCTGCACACACCAGTGAGCAGACATGGCTCATATTGCGTACGGCATCAAAACCTTTTCATCTTTACCGAATCGTCCTGCACAAACAATTTAAAAATCATACATAGCCCCACAGTCAGATAAAAACGGCACGAATATATTCTGGCACGCAGCCAGTCAGTCAGACAAGCAGGATGTAGTCAGAAAGGCACAGACATAAAAAATACCAGACATACAGATGCATGCAGTCGACAGACTTACATGCAGGCTCGTTGACAGGTGACAAAGACAGGCATATGAATAGAACGTATCCTTTTTCTCACCCAACCAGACACCACTTAATTCGACTTTCAAGTACGTACGCGGCCCTCGGACGTGTTTCAGCAGGCACATGATGCAGTCGACGGCAGCGTTGGCGAACACCAGTACGTTGTGGGTGTCGAGGAACGCCTCGAAGACGTCCAGCACGGCGCGCACGTGGCCGGCAGAGGCGGCAGAGCGGACCGAGCAGAGCGCGCCGAACAGCGGCCGCCAGCCGCTGCGGATCTCTGAGGTGCTCACCTCGACAAACTCGCAGATCGAGCCCACGATCTGCGGCGGAATGCCAATGTTACCGAAGAGAAAGAAGACGGGACTGAAACATTTAAACATCTTCACGTTTTATCGAGAAAGCACATAAGACTGAATTTGCGTGAGACGCGTACAATGTAATAAAATCGTTTCTACTCCATACCGATATCGCTTTAGCTGCAGAATACGGAAGTTCAGCTGTTCAACACGGACGTCTTACCTGATCCTGCACGTCCGTGTCGCAGAGCTCGAGGCACAGCAGCGTCTCGAGCGGCTTGAACAGCGCCTCGTTGATGTGGTAGTGGGGCAGCTCCAGCTGTGAGCCCAGTATCGCGTTCACAGCGTCATGGATACACGAGACCGCTTTCTTCGAGACTGCCAGGTCCTTGTGGCACGCCGCCTGGAATGCAAGTGGGCAGAGTCAAACATGACCATTGATTGACCATTCCCTGAAAGGAGTTCAAATCAGAAAATGAACAAAGAAGACTCTAAAATAACCATGATAAATGACCATGAGTATTTATGATAACCAACATAAATAAAATAATGTTTTAAAACGACACGAAACGAAATCGATCCATGCAGTAAATCCCATTTCGCACACAAAGAAAAAGAGTAGCCTGTACCGGCGGTGGTGTCAGTGCCGGGCCCGTACCTCCATCAGGTGGTGTCCGACGATGGGCCAGGCGCGCATCAGGTGCACCAGCGGCCGGCCGGATCCGACCACCTTCAGCAGCACGTCGCCGAGCCGCGTGAGCAGCAGCGCGGCGCACTGCTCGCCGGCCGCGTCCGGCGCGCGCCGGCCCCGCCGCCGCCAGAAGGCCGGCGCCGGGGCCGGGGCCGGCACGGCGAACAGCTGCCGCTGGGAAGCGCGGCACAGCTCGCGCAGGAAACTCAGCAGTGAGGAGAGGTTCAGCTTGTGCGCGGCGTCGTTGAACAGCCTGTGGGTGAAGCGCCGGGATGGGCGTCAAAATGGCGAGGGTGACGACAGCAGCCCCACACTGACAGCTAAGTGTCGATCCTCAGTCTGACCACTCTGAACTCTTTCAAAGACTGCAACTTGTATGGGGTGCAAGAACACCACCACCAAATGTTCACATTTCTCCCTTGCACCAGCTGCTGCCAGAGCATGCTATACATTTCCTATTCGCGTGAATCAGGCGGTGATGTCATAAAAATTGACCAGCTGTCCATACCAGCATGGCAAGAAGCCTCACCTGTCAGCCATCTGCGTGAGTCCGCTGACGGCTCGCGCTGCGAAGGGGGCGGGCAGCACGCCGCCGTGCCGGTCGTCGGCGCCGGACTCGTGCACCAGGGCGGCTATGTCCACAGTGTCCGGCGCCGGGCCGTGAGAGCTGGCCAGGTAGCCGTACGTGTCGCCGCTGGGGGATAGACGGAGAACATGTTACCGGTCGATGGGAAAAATGTGGCAGAGGCAGTCACTGGCAACCCAGAGGAAAGAATCTGGACAGATATGGAACAAATCGGGTTCTAAAGATGAAGACTGAGTCGCCAACACCCCCAAACATCTTAACAAAAATGTCGTAACTCGTTGATCAAATCGAACAGTGGAATATAGCAAGCTCAGCTACGACAGAAACCATGGTGACATGGTGGACCTTACAGTACCCTTGGTTTGAGTACCGGTACTCACATAACCAGTTATATCGCCCGACAAGTGGGCCGTGCTAGACACTGTCCTTTACGAGATGTAGTTAGGCGAGTGATCGGCTCTCACCAGAGCGACTCGTCCTCCTCCGGTCGGCCGAACGTCAGCCGCAACGCGTCCGCATCGTGTCGCGTCGGCGGAGGGAGGGTGGAACTGGAGCCGGCTGAGCCGCCACCGCGGTCAGAGAACAGCCGCCGCTCCAGCGCTCCCAGGTACAGGACGCACCTGACGGCCGGCACAACACACGCACTCAGTGACAACTACTGACAGAACAGTCTGCTTCTGCTTGGGATAATCGCCATACGGTGCATACGAACATACAGTGTGATCTTTTATAAATTGGATTGGATGGACTGATTTGATGCTTAAGAAGAAAAAAAAAAACGGACAAAAATACACGGTAGAAATCAGAGAAGTGCGACCGGAACATTTTGTGAATGAACACATTTGCTTCATTGTGTTCACTACACAGCAAACTAACCCTCAAACTGTGAGCCAGCAGACCACACACAGAGGTTCCGACTTCAAAAAGAGCTCCGTAACACCCCACGCCGGGCCAGACCGCTCACCTGAAGATGTGTGGCCAGCAGTCGGCACTGTGGCTGCCCAGGTCGAGCCCGTTGCCCAGGATGACCTCCATACTGAGTACGTGTGCCGCGTGCAGCTGCACGGGCGCCTGACCGACGAGCGGCAGTCGCGGCCGGCGCCGGGAGCGGCCGGTCGACTCCGCCTCACCGTCACTCTCAGTGCACGAGGCGGCCGTCAGGAAACTGAACACGGAGCCGCAGCGCACCTGCAGACCTGTGGACAAGTCAGGGACGTTATCACAAAGCAAGCAAATCGCAAATATAAAGCATAGAAAAAAAACACGTAGGAAATGAAAAGTAAGCTAATTATTTATACAACTACCGCTCCAGTCCTGACAAGAACATAAGTGTGGCATGAGATATCCACCGTTTCCCGTTCTCCAATCCCGCAGGGCTGGTGTCCATTGGGGGAGGTGACCGCTCACCAGTGGCATTGCTGAGCCTGGCGGCGCGCTGCAGACCGTCCAGCGCCGCGCCCGCCGCCTGCCGCTGCAGCGCCTGGGTCCGCCGCCGCCGACCAGTCGCCGGTCCGGAGAGCGGCGCCGAGAGCAGCTCCAGCAGCGGGTCCCAGCAGGCCGTCAGCACCCGGCGGGCCAGCTTCACACCTGCCCCGCACAGAGTCCGACCCGGGTCAGTGAAAGGAGCGGGTACTTGTAATGTTACTGTTCGGGATTATTGGTTAAGAGTCATGACTCTTTTCAGAGAATATATCAGTTGATGAAAGTTAACATTCCCTACTGAAGTATGATGCGCTTAACTGAAACTGAAAAAAAGCGTTGACGTTAAGCGTGTTTACATTAATTTCCGTCATTGCAGTATGCATTGTAATGAGGGCACTACAGTCTGTCGAAATGAAAGGAGGTGACTGCTGAAGCAGCCTGCTCAGCACCGCTGACTGACCTGCCTCCCCGGCCGGGTCCCGGTCTACGTTGGAGGCCGCCCGCTCCAGACGTCGGTAGTCGGACAACAGCTGGCTGCCCGGCTCGACACTACCCAGACCGTCCAGGTCTGAAAACACAAACACCGGTCACAAACCGAACAGTAAGGATGAATTTGGACGCTGGTGCAGTCAGGTATTTTACTGGTGCACTGGGCGATTTGGTAGTTTTGAGTTATACACGGTAAAGCTTCTTAAGAAGCTGCTTCATCACGAAAGCACGTCTATAAAAGCAAATACCACGAAACGGAATCATTTAACGTCATTGACAACAATTTTTAGGACGATTTTAGCCACGTACAAGCATTTCAGGGATGCGAACGTACGCGGGATCGACTACGTGAGTCCCCTGTGGGCGCCCGTTTACCTGTGATGAGACTGATGAGGCTGGCGCCGCGGTCACTGTAGCCGGCCTGGTGCAGCAGGTCACAGTGCACCACCTGCTGGTACAGCTCGGCCAGCCAGCTGGTGCTCAGGTACACCAGCACGCCGCTGCCCAGCACGTCCTCCACAAACTCAGACTGCCAAACACAAAACAAACAGTCAATCACAGTTGAAAAACACTTACCCAGCTGAGCAGCCAGCTAAACAAACAATCGACAACCATTACCACGTAGGGGCCACGCTGGTCTCGCTGAAATCCCAAATCCCAAATAATCTTCATTATAAGTTTATTTTACTGAAAATATGTTCCAAATGGCCAGTGTAAACGTTCCGCAGTCCGGCATGAGTACCGTACCTACCTCGGTAACGGTGAGGGCCGCCGTCTGTCCGCTGTAGTAGCCGCTGCGAATCAGCTTCAGGTTGAGCAGCAGCGCCGCGTAGCAGGCCAGGTACACGCCGTCGGCGTTAATGATCATCAGCTGGTGCGGGTCGGTGCGGCTTAGGTCCGACTGGGAGCTGTACAGACCTGGGGGGAGTTATAGGGGGCGGCGCGGTTAGTCAGGTGTGTCAGTTGTCCCCGTTCAGGTCCGACTGGGAGCTGTACAGGCCTATGGGCGATCAGAGGAGAGAACAGGGTCAGTCGGAGGTACTGTACAGACCTGGGGGATAGTGGAGAGAACGGGGTCAATCAGAGGTACTGTACAGACCTGGGGGATAGTGGAGAGAGCGGGGTTAGACATGAGTCTGCTGTCCCCTCTCAGGACCGACTGCGAGCTGTACGGACCTAGGTAAAGCCGAGGCGGGGTCAGTCAGAGCTACATGACTCACACCCACCCACCCACGGATTTTCAGTACAAGGTAACAGGTCTGTCTCTTCTTCTGAGCCTTCGCTGATATCCAGAAACATTGGCGATCGTTTCTCAACACCACCGTTGACATGCTTACCGTCACAGTATTTGGAGGCGAACTCCTGTACGGCCCTGTCGACCTCCAGGCAGCTGCGGATGGCGAGCAGGGAGGGCAGCAGAGCGCGCAGCGTCTGCACGAAATGGCGGCAGTGACGACGCTCCTGCTCACTCGAACAGTCGTAGTGCTGTTACACAGAAGGGAGAGGGGGAGTGAGAAGACACAAACAGAGATACACAAATTCAATCGACATTTCACACATGGGTATAACTGTAATGAATCATTAACAGTGACTGAATTGGAAACAGCATGACCGTACGATTGATATAGATACAAATTGTCATCACAAGCAGCCACTACATTTACGTAGCAATGTGAATTGTTTGCTGAGGTCGATACGGCAATGAAGAGGGGAAAGCCGTGCCACTTCTGTGTCTGACACCATGTCTGAGTTGGCAGCGGCGAATGATTTACAGGAGATGTGAAGCGGGGCCGACCGGGAACGGGGCCAGAGCGAGGCCGTAGGCGGGGCGGGGCTAGGAGGGAACATTAGAGCAGGTAACTACCTGGAGCTGCGTTGGCCGTCCGCCGCGCAGCCGCTCCAGTCGGCAGCTCTCCTCCTCCTGTCTCCGACGGCGGTGCTCCGCGTCGGGGCTCAGCTGGAGGCAGAAACGTAGACTGTCACTCTGTCAGCGAACTGTCAGCGGGTTGTCAGTGTCAAGACTGACGGACTGTTATCAAGGCTCAGCTGTCGCAGTCAGCGAGCTGTAGGCTGACTGTCAGACTGTTATTGGGATCCAGCTGTCGGCAGTCGGCGGACTGTCAGTGGATTGTCATCGGACTCACGACTGTCAGAATGTCAGACGGTCAGACTGCTATCGCAGCTCAGCTATCCAGTCAGCGGACTTTCCAGACTGTCGGCAGTCGGCAGATGGTCAAACCGTCAGGTGGGCACTCAGAGCTGCCGGGTCTTCAGACTGTCTGACTGCTCGACTTTCCAGACGGTCAGCGTTCGGGTACTACAAGCAGCAACCAAAAGTCAATTGTCCCTAATACTTTAGTTGTTGCGCTGTGCATGAGTTTTTGTTATGCATTGCCGTCCGGGGCCGAGAAATGCTCACCTGTCCCGCGTCCTGTTCATCTGAGTCGCTCGTCTCAGGGCCCTCGGTGTCACCCGAGTCATATGACTCTGAGTCAGCGGGCGAAGGTGTGTGGCTGTGATCCCTCGGACCGGCCAGTTCCGCACCGCCGTACGTTACAGGACCTGCGGCCGGCACACAAAGGAATGCAGTGAGACCAATGTATCCCTTTAACTGATCGGAGCCGACCTGGTTTATTCGACCACATATCATACAGCAGAGCTTGAAGAGGAAAGCATTGCATATTTCTATTACATATTTACCCAAATTCGTACACACCTTGATAGTCGGCCTCCTCGAGCCTGGCGTAGAGCGAGTTCACGCGCTGAGCGTACTCGGTCGACACGTGCCGGCCCTCGCAGAGCGCCTCCAGAGACTGCAGCAGCGCCACACAGCAGCTCACACCCGTGTGTGTGGCTGATGGCTCCGGCAGCGAGCTGCACTCCATGATCGAGTCGATCGTGCTGGGCAGGCAACCATTACGTCAGTTTTCATTCAAAAAGATGCACCAAGAAAATGTGCAAAAGAAAATATATTGCTCTAATCAAACAAATCTGCTATTTCTATCGTTGATATTCGAATTGCATCTGCAGTTAGATTGCTGAAATCTCTCGCAACCAACCATATCGTTTTGCGTTAACAATGAACCACCATTTCGTAAATTCTGACACCGCTAGGAACAACATGAACTTTGTGATTGTGTGAAAAGGTACAGTCAAACTAGCCACACGTTGAGAATGTTCTCGCTCGTCCTGGCAGAGTCTGACTCTCTGTGGCTAAGTGACGGTACCCATGGCGTCGTACGTTCGTCATACTCACATCTGCAGCAGTGATAGATCGTTGACGGGTACGTGTTTGGCGGTGGGTTCCTGTTGGACCAGCGTCGGGCCACAGAAGGCCAACAGCAGCTCCGGAGTCTGAAGCACCTGGGGTCAGAGGAGAACAAAAGGGCGCAATTAGCTTGAGAAATGTGATTAAAACTTGGTATACCTTCACGTCAGCTTCCGATCAATCATTCAGAGACCACTTGTCTTTGAGCGCAACTGAGCGTAAATCTGTGGGCCGAAATTACCTCGCGGTTGAGTCGCTATGAATAACTTGACCTAACTTTTCTTGCTACGGCAGTAGAGTTCGCGGAAACTTGGAAGTTACGGCGGGGAGGCGGAGGATGGAGCGATTCAACGTCCCGTCCGGCAGTTACTCAAGTCAGTCGAGTGGCGACGAAACCTTTGGACGGTGCGGCAATTAGTAGAGTTGTGAGTGAAGTGAGTGAACGGATGGCTAATGTACCGCTCATAGAACTCATACAAGAGCCACACAGTACGGCAGTTAGTAGAGCCGCGGTGATGTGTTTCGAGAAAACGGACCTGTTTGACGACCCGGAGGGCGTCGTCGCGGTGCTGCGGCGGAGGGTAGAGCAGCATTCTGTGGAACAGCGCCTCCAGAGCCGGGCGTACCGAGGCCACGGCGCCCAGCAGCCGTACCAGCTGCACCGAAATGCTGTCGGAGGGAACGGGAGACGCTCAGTCAGGAAGGAGAACACGCACTGTGGGTTGTATCGCCTGCGTAACGGCTCAAAACTCCAGACCTCCATATCGTCAGAGCGCTGTTTCGTCATGCCCACCTGAATATGGTACGCGCCTCTGCGGCCGGCAGGGAGGGCTGCTGGGTGAGGCCGCCGGAGCCCCGGGCCAGCTGAGACTCGCCGGCCGGCCCGTGACTGCCGACCCGCTCGGTGGTCGGCGAGCCGAGCAGGCAGACCAGCGCCGGCGTCAGGTGGCGCCACGTCTGCTCCAGCAGCGGCGCGCACTGGTGGGCGCGCGCCGCCGGCAGCGCCGTCAGCAGCGCGTTCAGCGTGCTCAGCAGCAGCTGCAGGCCCGCGCCGGCCGACCTGGACACGCAGGGAGAGACGGAGGCCTCAGTTCTGTGTCTCGGACGGTCTGCTATCTTGCCGTGATCCGGCTCCAGCTTGCACGTGACGGAAATGTTATTTACCTTAGTGTTTACGACGGTCAATAAGCATCGCACTTCTGACAAGCTACAGCTGACACATCGTCTGCTTGCTAATTGCACCAAGAAAGCACCCGAATCGCAATGAAGTTGAATACAGATTTTTTAGGCGTACAATAGTGAAAAGCCATTATATGTGCTCCGTCTATTCATTATGTCAAGAACCGTTCGTTTTGTCACAAACGAGCAAGCCGTTGGGACGGGCGACTGACCGTTTGTCGGCGAAGGCCTGCAGCTGAGAGCACAGGTAGCCGCACACGGGTACGATGTCCTGGTACACGTCGGCCGGCGACAGGCCGTCCCCACCGGCCGGGCCCTCCGCCATCTCACTCTCGTAGCCCTCGTCTGAGGAGACAGGTGTTTTAATGTTCAGAGTAAGAATAAAACGTTTACGAAATTATTGCTTCAGCACGACTTATTACTACTGAAGTAAGCAGTAGAAAATGTGAGACATACTTTTTAATGGCACCATAAACATTATACCTGGAGAACATTTCCCGATAGAACTCACTGTTGTGTAGATTTGCAGATAAATGTATCCCATCTCTCGTGTTCCAACAAAAATATCCCTTCTCGTTCCTCCTAACACCACTTTTATCGACTGGTTTCCAATTTCCATCCAATAAAAAGTCAGTGGGCACTGGGCAGTCAAGCTGTTAAGTGTTGTGCCAAGCGCAATAATTAAAAAAGAAAGTACATGCCAACTATCGTTTCTAGTAAGCCTGTGATCCTCAGGATAGTCGGACATACCAAGAATAGCGACGAAGCCGCGGACTGCCTGGCAGGCGGCGGCCTGCGCGGCCGTGGCAACCGTGGGCGGGCAGGGCGTCCTCGAGCACAGTTGGAAGCAGAGCGTCAGCAGGCGAACCACCAGCGCGCTGCTGGCCACCCACCAGCTCTGACACGCGGCGCTCAACAGTACCTGGCAGGGACGGGAGACAAATTAACTGGTGTCCATGACAGTGTATTTACAGCAGACCTGGCTCTAGTGGAGTCCATAAATAGATGAGGAGTGCGGTTTGCGCTGTAACCGTTTTACTTTAGCCGGGTGATCGGCCCAGTGTCGAAGTAAAGCACTCTCGCGGTCCAAGCATCTACCACAATGGATGGCGAGACAAACAGCTATCAATTTCACCACCTACAGGTCAAACCAAAAGCCGGCCATAAGAGGTCTGCCGAGAAGTTACACACTACACGAATTACTATCTTCACCACCCTGTCACTGGAAGGCTTTGACGCAAACACATATGCTCAGCAGAACCTCCCGGCGTCAGACGGACAAACGATAGCCCCGGTATAATCAGCGCTGAGAGGAGCGCAGCGGTATTACGTTTCACAGCTCAGCAGCGCTGCCGATATGTACTCACCCGCATAATTTCGACCTGCGCGTTGTCGTCGAGCGTTGCCAGCGAGGGCAGTGCATCCAGCAGCTGAGTGGTCAGCCATCGAGACTCGTCGTCGCTCTCAAACGGGGCCGCGAACCGGTCGTCACGGAGCATTCTCTGTGGAACCCCGATCGTTAGTTTTGCGAATTTTCTATTAATTTGGTAACCGTCACGAACGTTACCAAACGTTACCGAACGTCACGTAACTAGCTTCAAAAAGCACACAGATTACCGAAACACTTACGTGAATAATTAGTCATTCGATTGGACGTAGTCAACATTTGATGGAGTTGATACATTCAGCCCTACGTTAAAGCTTAAAAGTACCTATAAGTTGGGCGTTCATGTCAGTCACACAATGCAGGAGCTGAGAGGCTTGTGTACGGTTCTCCAGGGTATTACTATGAACGTCAAACCCCATGAGACCCCACTTTTTTGCGATAATTTTTAAATGCGTCAACTTTCTTTGACAATATTCTGGCAATGTATGTTTCAGAACCTGCCGAAACTTTTATTACTAAGGTATTTTGACGCCAAACGATTATGGAAGGTACTTCTCATTCACTCGTAATGCTAAGGTCAATTCAGGCCCGGGCAGAGGCTTGCGCTCGGCCACACTCGAGCCCCGCCATCAGCGCCATCTGCTCTAAATGCCATCTACCAGCGCCCGCTACCGCTACCAGCTACCGCCCACCATCAAGCCTGAATGGAGCGAGAGACGCGAGTGACCGGTCGCCGGGCAAGGAGCGCCGGAGGGGTAGGGCGGAGCTTAGCGCTGACGTCATTGCGTGGCTCCGCCCCATGAGCGCGTAGCCTCTACCCAAACAGCAGATTCGTTCCGTGAAATTTAACATTACGAGTGAATGAGAAGTGCCTTTCATAATCGTTTGGCGTCAAAATACCTTAGTAATAAAAGTTTCGGCAGGTTCTAAAACACATATTGCCAGAATATTGTCAAAGAGAGTTGACGCATTTACAAATTATCGCAAAAAAGTGGGGTCTCAAGGGGTTTGACGTCCATAGTAGTCGTTGGTCGCTCGGCGAGCGGGAGGGCAACCAGTTCCGCCCCTGTATCGCGTGACCCCTTGCTCCGCCCAGTTACGCACGAGCGTACTCCACGCTGCGTAGTAGCGTGGGGAGGGGAGGGCTAGAATGGTGGCATGTGTAGAGGCTAGAACCGGTTTCCACCGCCATGCCACCGCCCAGCGACATGGAGCGGGGTCAGTGACCAGGGCGCAGGGAAAGGTCAGAGGTCAGCTATAACGTAGAGCTTTGTCTCCCTCCCCCCACCGTTCCATGCTTCTATCCTCAGGAAACTGAAATCCTTCTCCTCCACGCCGCAACCCCCCTCCGGGCTGGACAGGCAACTTTATCTCATGCGGGCTGCTCCCTAGGAGCGGCACCGCTGCTCCCGAGGGAGTGCACCCCGTAGCCGGGTGCAGTGAGTGCCTTGGGGCTGGGTGGCCTGTCCTCTGGACGGGCTCAGCCCCGGCGACTCACTAGGATGCCTGCCCAGACCAATGTCTCCCCCTAATTCCTATCATCCTTCCGGCTCTGCAATGGTCTTGTCGACCGAAAGGGCCTAACCCAACAAAACAAAACTCCCTCCCCTCCGCGTGTAACGACCGCACGACAGCGGCCGGCCGCCGATCAGGCTTGACATGTCAAGGTCACCCGCAGTCAACGGGCTCGGAGGGTTGGTCGAGTGCGCGTCCGTGGCTGACGACAGTCTCGACCATGTGCTATGGTGCCGATAGACTAGCGTGGGTAATAAGTTTTTGTTCAGTGCATATGGCTGCTGCCTGCTGGAATGTGTCATCTTGATATGATGTTTTGTAACGTGTATGATACGCTTAAAGGGACCCTCCCACCTTCAAAAAAGTTAATGAATTGGCATGAAAGTGATGTCGATCGGTTCAGAAAGAGCGAAAACGAATATCTACCAAATTTCACCGAAAAATATTCACCGGTTTTCAAGATATTAGACTTTTACTTTTGTTTACTTTTTTGGGATCTCCGCTGTTTCTAGCGACTTTATTTTAGAAGTGCGGCGTTTGCGGCAGATGTTGCGCGCAAATAGCATATACCACCGCGTGCTACAAAACGTTTTAGTCAAACATTTAAAAATCGTTAGATATTTGCGCTGACGTCACACATTCAGAGGGGTATTCCTAAGCATTAGCCCCTCTGAATCAAAATGCTGCAATTTTGAAATTCAATATTTCCGATTTAAGGCATTTCTCGATGTTGTAAGTGCCGAAACCGGTAATTGTGAGCCAGGGACCCCATTTTGGCTATCTCAACTCAAATCTAATGTTAAGGTGGGAGGGTCCCTTTAAAACCTCGCTGGCAGTGGCCGAGAGGATGGGGGAGGGGGGAGGCGGGTGCCGCCTCCACATGTTTATTTTTGTTGATAGCTTCGAGGGCTGAAATTTGGCAAGCCTGACCTTTGATTCAAGCTGAATCTTTATGAAGCAGCTGTATTTTCACCCTCGCCCATATTGGTGTTTTGCCAGCGTCTATCGTAAAGGGGGGGGGGGAGGAGGGTCCGTTGAGCCCCTTTGCCGTTCAGCCCCTGATCGAGCTAGAGCTTCGGGGAAAAAGAGCGTGTTGCCCGGGACGAGAGGAGGTCGGTGATACCCAATTTTAAGATCCTAGGTCATTGGTTGACAGGTCAATATAACTCAAAAGTCGGGGAATCGGGACCTGTTAGAGCTTCGTAAAGTGAAGCTGTTATAGGGTTTTGCGGGGTGCTGATCACGAAATTCAAGTTAGTTTTGATCACAGATGATGTTTTTGTGCATTTAGGCCAGGTCGGGTCAGGTCAGGTCAGGTCACATGTTACGAGGGAATCAAAACTACTTCTTAAATGTTCAAACGGTTTCTAAATGCGAAATCAACTCCAAAATCTATCCTAGAAACATGTAGAACTCGAGAGCGTGAACAAAGGTCATCAAAGGTCAGTGACCTGACTGACCTTCACGTGACCTTGATACCCACTAGAATCCATGGGATCAACATCCTTTCACATGTTTGATCGCTTAAAGCCACAAAAAGACAATAAAACGCGCTCTACTCGAAATACGCCAAAATGCGATTCCGGTCAAACATGGTCTCGGAAAACAGGTCACAAGTCAAAGGTCTTTTGAGTCAGGGTCATACAAATTATAGGGTAGGCGTAATATTGATTAACTCGATGGTACTGAAAGTTTCGTCGCAATCAGCCGCTTTTTGCGCGAGTTATTTGCGAAAAACTGAGGGTAGGAGGTCTGTTCGACACCCTCCTACAAATGCGAAGGTCAAGGTCAGGCCGTTGACCAATGACGTCAATAGTGAACCTCTGTAAGATCCCAAAATGTCGCGACGTCGCAGCACCCTTCGCGCCAGGGGACTTTTCAACGGGGAATTTATATGATCTAGTACTATCTCCCAGAGGCCTCACAACTTGTATGTAGCTATCTCGTATTTTTCTTAAGAGTCACCTGAAGTCAGGTAGGTGACGCAACCTCAGATTAATAATCAATTGGGAAATATGAAAGCTGTTATTTTGGCGCCGGGAGCCATCTAAAGCTGCCTCAAGCGCATGAATTTTGCGATTTTATACAATCTTTGCAAGACCCAGCGGCCAGCATTCACTTTTCCATTCTTAGTTAGGCGACTTCATTTATGACGTCACTAAGGTCACAGGAGATTTCACCAAAAAGTCCGATCAAATTGAGCCAGCGAGTCGGGAAGCCACCAGTGGACTTGTGAGGACCTACCGATTCGAAGAAGCGATATGACCTCCTTGAGCCAGCCTCGTGGCCTGAGTGGCTCTGCCCTGACATGACCTGAGGTGAACACCTTAAATTGACCTCAACAAAAACAAAGCGTATACTATTCGACGCGCTTGACCATACAAAACTCGATGGTGCCATTATCTTGGCTCTGTAACCACTTATGGTGAAGTTGTTTACCAAAAACCGATCCCGCGATTTCGAGCACTTATACTGGCCTCAGAGTTTATCGGTTGACCTGAGACATTCAACTCGGGTACTAGTTGCTGCATCTCATACGACGCACGCGCTCAGTTTTATCCGCAAGGCGCTATCTCAATTAGGGGCAAAAAGACGGCGAGGGGTCGTAATCGCCCCCGCTTCGGCCGGGGTATGTGCAGAAAACCCAAAATTCCGTTGAGGGTTAAGCACTGAAGTGACATATTATGATGCGAGAAGGTATAGGTCAAAACAAGTATGCACGCGAGCGGATGTGAATAAAACTGTGTTTGAGGTATGCCTTTTTTATTATACATTCGATTTGTTTTAGTTATTGGTAAGAACAGATACAACCAAGAAGAGCGCCCCTGAAGAAAAGGTGGCGCACCGAACGGGTGCGATTTTAAGGTCTAAGGTCAGTCGGGGACCAGTTCGGATCAAGCGCTGTATGTTAGGGTTAAAAAATGGGGGCAAAAAAGCATCCCGATTTGGCAGCATCGTCATGCTTTGTCACGGCACTCATCCACTCCCTCGGCCGAAATATTATTTCCTTTTTGTATGAGTTCTGGCATAATCCCGCACATTATGCTGCATAGGTATTGTTTGCCATGAAAAAAAAAAACAATGCATGTTCAGCTACGTTAATCTACGCAGTACGCACTAACCTAACCACCATCCCATCATCCACCACTAGCCACCATCCCGTTCTGTGCCCCCGTCCACCCCACACGAATCAGCCGAAATACTAGTCAGCCGGGCTAGCGCTACCTATCCTATCCTCCCTTCCTGACTGCACAGCGCTAAAACCCAGAGCCGAGACTTCCCGAGCGCGACCTCTGACCCCACGTGGCCCGAAGGGTCGGCCGATGCCTCAGGGCGCGCCGTGCGCCGGCCACCCGGATAGCCTCTGCCGAGTGTCCCTTTCATGCACCGTTTACTACGCGCTCGATTCATTCATGATTCTGTGTTTCCGCGTTCCTCTCGTTAGATGGCTCTACTGATGTCATAGGCGATCCCAGGAAGATTGCGGCCAGAATACCCCAAACGGCAGAAAATTAGGTTTTTGGTGAATATCTCGGAAAGTATTTGGCATACAACGATGCAATTTCACAGTCTCGTGGAAAATGTGCATACACATAATTCGGGTTGATACTTATGCATTTAAACATTATATAGGACCAGATATATCCGAAAATGCAAAACCAACAAGACTTTTACTGGAGAACCGTACCTGCAGTCCCTGTATGGCGAGCGTGCCGAGTTTGCCGCTGCCACTGTGCAGCGCCGAGCCCAGCGCCTCCAGACACTTGGAACGGAGCTCCCACGGCGGGTCGCGCAACAGGCCATGCTGCGATTCAGTAAAGTCTGCAAAGAGTGCCTCGTCAGTCTATGAGACCGCACCGTAAGATGCAGTCCGCTCATTTACCATTCTAAACACCATTAGTCACGTTGAATGGTCGCGAAAAGACGGGAAAACGGCAATCAAACGCTCAGGAAACTACGCCACTGACCTATTAAAACGACCAATGATTAAAAACTTGTTGGCGTAGATTATTGAAAGTACACAAACAGCTGGGGAAATGAAATCAGACTTCATCAAAAGCTGTACTTAAAAAACATCCAGAACAAGTATTTTCTTTTAAACATTACTGCAAATTCAATTTGTGCCTTACAACGCCACATATCTTTTTTAAGTTAGCTGGCAGCAGTTCACATGAAACGGCAAGGCGTTCTTCCTAAAATGTTTTGCCCGTTTTCAGCCGAAGTTTCTCTTATGGTGAATGCACTGAGTCAATGACGTCATTGCATTTCACCCGCACCCCGCTGGGGAGCGGGACAGATAGATTCGACTTCCCCCGGTCTAACCTCGAACAGATTGTCGTAAAAAAGACGGGCAAACGGGGATAGATTCTACTCTCCCCGCGGTCTAGCCTCCGAACAGATCATCGTAAAAAAGACGAGAAAACGGCAATCAAAAGCTAGCACCAGCCAACCAGGACGTATCTAGAGCTTTCCATTTGATCAGCCTGCAGCAGGGCTGTTCAACAGTAGCACAAGCTGAAGGGGAGGGGGCGTTTTACGCCGAGGAGGCATCTTGTACGCCTCTCCCCCTCTAGTTTGGCTCTTGGACTGCGTACTGCTACGCAATAAGCATCGTTGGAAAGGTCGACAAAATCACGAGAAAAGCACCTACAATCGTCAAATACATCAGGAAGGATTCTGAATCAGCACAGCCAGCTGTCACTTTGCCCTGTGGTAAGTGCTGTCTTTGCGAGACCGTGCTGTCACTGCTCGTGACCACAGGTTGAGACTCACTGCGCGCCTGGTCGGCCAGAAGGCGGATGTCGGCGCGCCTTTCCGCCCCGGCATCGCGCGCTAGCTGAGCCAGCAGCTCCTCCATTCGTAGCCCAGGCTGGAGGCGTCCGCAGGCCAGTGTCAGCACCTCATGTTCCCTGTCGATAGACAACAGTAAACGTTAGCGCTGCCGACGTGCGCCTCCGTGTATGCTTGGGCAAGGGGCCCTTCCTTCCTGTTTTTTTTTTCACAGATAACTAAAAAACGGCCAACAATTACTTTTGACTCGCTGTTATCAGTACCTTTCTGCACATCAATTTCACACAATTCCCGAAAAATTGGGTCCAGCTCATCATCTTAGGTCATGAGCTACAGAGGTCAAACTAAGGTCATGTTCATATATTTTCAGTCAAAAAAGCTGTTCATGGAAAAAATGCAGAAAGTCAGATAAACAATCTTGAGACTCCAAATTTGCACCGAATCTACAAAAATGCATGGCAAAGGAAACTGCTATCTAAAAATTTCCATGAATACTAAACATGAAATTTCCAAAAATAAAATATTAAGATACTTAAATTTTCAAACTTGAAGTCAAGATTGCTCAGCATTTTTTTTTCATTTTTCTTTTGAAACTAAAAAAGAAACAGAATATATCAGAGAGCACCTCCCTACCTTTACAATGTAAAAAATCAATGAAATATCTCTGAAACTGCCAAATATATAGCCATTTCAAAGACCACAAATACAGGAACTGTTCTTATGTCACATTATTTTCAGCATTTGTACTTGAAATTAGTCTAGGGTAATACCTATAATACTTATTCATCTCTCCCTGACTCAATGTGAGCAATGTCATCTCTTTTGCTTGTAAAGGTCACCTTTACATAATAAAATGTTTGTTCATTGTACACCCATAAATTTACTTTACCTATATGTGCCATCATAGGTAAAAATGACCAATGAAGTACCTATGGCTTCAAATGTATGATATGACTTCATAACTACTCAAACATTCACAATTCAACATGGTGTTCCATTTGATTCATGCAAGTTGCTAGCTTAAGTTAGAATTAAAATTACGATGCCATCATCTGTGATGCTTCTTGTTTGGTGATGGCAGCAAACAGCAGCACACGATAATTTGGGTTCTCATTTTTACATTATTATATGGCAGTAAGCATACTTCTTGTATGCAAGCAACTGCCTCAACTATATAGGTAATTAATCCCTTTATTATTTCCAACCACATGGCTTAGTGTTTTCTTACTATTGTTACGAACCAAGTATGCTAAATGAGATTTACACCAATGTCAGCAGTAGGTATTGGATTAAAGAAAAGTATTGAGCAGATTTTAAGTGAGTGTTAGGCTAGATCAAGTCATATTTTATTATGATTTAAATGCAAAAAGTACTTAATGAGTTGAAATAACGCACATGCGACATTTACGGCGCAGCAGTACATGCGCTGAATTTTGGATAATTGGCAACGTTCCTTGACAAGTAAGTATGAAACACGTACCTTAGAGCTTGCAGCAAAGGAAATTTAGACAAACAACATTCCTAATAGTATTTCAGGTTGAGTTTACGCAGAAGCTGCATTTCCACGAGATCAATTTACTAGCTCACACACCTTGGGCTGATTCGGGCGCTGCTGGAGGTCACATGGGTTGCTTCCACAGTCAAACAAATATCCATTTTTCACAGCAAGTTTGATTTATTTAACAAATTATTATATTCATATATCTATTTTTAAATTCATTAGGTGCACAATGACCTAAGATTTCTTGACAAAAAATATATTTTACGATATCAGTGATGCTTCAATCACGTGATCTCCACAAGTTTCTAGCTAAAATCAGCAATCACATGTACACTAGCAGAAGCCAAACTGCAGCCAGGGTGTCTAAAAAGCAGACTAATTTGGTAGACTAACTTATGATCCAAAACTACCTGACTGATTCTGATTATTTTTTCATTATTCTACAGAGAAGACCAAGAACATTTAACGCTTAGTATTTTCTTACACCTCGAAACGTTGGATTGGACACCTCGAAACGAACCATTCGATCTAAAAATCCACGAACCACATTATGCCAGTGCTATCAGTGCATCAGACACGCCGAAACCGTGCGAGACTTCGTAAACATTGACGCACCTGTATTTAGGGCCTTGGACGCCAGTAGCGGCGGAACACCTTCAACTAAGGGGGGGGCACTGCCGAGTTTTGGTCCCATTCTTTCCACGCAACGCCCATAGGGCTAATGTTAAAATGCCAAAATCAAAGGGGGCACGGTGCCCCGGTACTGCCCTCCCCGTTCTGCCGCCTATGTTGGACGCACCGATCTTTAGCCGGTTTTACCGACCGGGACAACACAACTCGACCGCTACCCATTATTGCAGCCAACTGATAACACTGTAAGGGCAAAATTTAGCGCGACGCGTACGTCGGTGAGGAGCGGCGGGCCGGAGTACCAGAGTGCGTGTGAGGCCAGTCCGCCGTACGATAGCCTCCGGCGGGAAAGGCGTGCCCGCCGGGTGAAAGGCAGCGGCTGGCCGGCACCTGGGACTCGCGGACCCGCCTCTCGTGGCATTTACCAGTGCGGTGTCGTCGGGGCAACATCTTTCGGTAAGCGAACTTTTCCCTCCCCCCTAAATTAATGCCGCAGCGCCCAGGCGCTGCGGAAGTCCCCGACAAATGTCCTGGATTTCATTTGGCTTTCCGACCCGCCGCAAATAGCGGTGGGCATTCCCGTTTTATATCCAGGACAGTCCCATCTAAATTATAATTAATCGGCGCGGCGCGTGGCGTATATGAGTGAGCGATTGTAAGTGTGATGTGTACAGTGTGCGTGAGGAAATTGATCCGAGAGAATGACACTTATCCCGCAAATCTAAAATACAGGGTGGACCAAAAAGGATGGAAACATTTTAAACTCGTATAAAACATGTATCATTGCATGCATGTGACTGGGAATGATACCAAACAAGAGTACATTTCGTGGAAATTCATAATGGCATCACTCATATGCTTTCTCTCGTTTTCAGTCTCTCACAGTAAATGTTCGAAGAGACCGCCTTCGCGAGACAGGCACAGAGCGGTCGGTCTGGCTGCTGACACGATAGCCCGCTTGTATGGCTCACACAGCCTTGCTGATCGCTCTCTTCAGTTCAGAGATTTTCTGGACCTTCCTTGTAGACCTGGTCCTTGAGATGACCCCACAGTAAAACATCCATAGGGGTCAGGTCGGATGAGCAGGTAGGCCAGTTCCGACTGGCATCGCGGGATATCAGCCGGTCACCGAAGTGGTTTTCGATGCACTTGAGCGTTGTTTTTGCGATATGAGGAGGCGCACCGTCTTGCTGGAACCACATAAGGTCTATGATGAGGCTGCCATGCTTCGTTTGGACTCGCTCTCAGAACTTCCTCAGCGCCGCCTGGTAGCGCTGTTGATTGACGGTCACGGTGTCGCCGCTCCCTTCCTCGAACCAAAGTGGACCCACGATTCCTTTTCCGCTGAGGGCACACCATTTCGGTGACCTTGCTGCTGTGCAGTGACTTCTTTATCATCTCATCTCAAGGGCCAGGTCTACAAGGAAGGTCTCTGTGACCCGAAGAGAGCGATCACCAAGACTGTGTGAGCCATACCAGCGAACATGTGTCGTCGGGCTATCGCGTCAGCCACCAGACCGGCCCAGGGGCGGATCCAAGGGGGGGGGGGTCACATGGGTCATGGCCCCTCCCTTGAGGCCCGGGGGCCCAAAGACCTTCCAGGGGCACCACCGGCCTATCAGGGGTATCACAGTCCTGACAGGGGCACCACAGGACCGCCAGGGGCACCACAGGCCTAGCAGGGACACCACGGGCCTGGTGCCCCTGGGCCCTGACAGGACTGTAACGCCCCTGACAAGCCTGAAGTGTCCCCGGCAGGCACGTGGTGCCCCTGACAGGCCTGAGGCGCCCCTGCAAGGCCGGTGGTGCCCCTGGCAGGCCTGTGGTGTCCATGGCAGGCCTGTGGTGCCCTTGCTAGGCCTCTGGTGCCCCTGACAGGCTTGTAATGCCCCTGGAAGGACTGTGGTGCCCATGGGCCCTGACAAGCCTGAGGTGCCCCTGACAGGCCAGAGGTGCCCTTGCTAGGCCTGTGGTGCCCCTGGCAGGCCTCTGGTGCCCCTGACAGGCTTGCGGTGCCCTTGGAAGGACTGTGGTGTCCCTGGGCCCTGACAAGCCTGAGGTGCCCCTGACAGGCCCGTGGTGCCCTTGTTAGGCCTGTGGTGCCCCTGGCAGGCCTCTGGTGCCCTTGCTAGGCCGCTGGTGCCCCTGGCAGGCCTCTGGTGCCCTTGCTAGGCCGCTGGTGCCCCTGGCAGGCCTCTGGTGCCCCTGCGCCCGGAGAGGACTGGTGCCCCTGAAAAGTCTGAAGTGCCCCTCGGCAGGCCCGTCGTGCCCCTGACAGGCCCAAGGTGCCCCTGCGAGGCCGGTGGTGCCCCTGACAGGCCTCTGGTGCCCCTGGCAGGTCTGTGGTGCCCCTGGGAGGTCTGTGGCGCCCCTGGCAGACCTGTGTTGACTGGTGCCCCTGCTAGGTCGCTGGTGCCCCTCACAGACCTGTGGTGCCCCTGGGCCTTGACAAGCCTGAGATGCCTGGCTATGACAGGCTCGTGGTGCCCCTGATAGACCAGTGGTGCCCTTGCTAGGCCTGTAGTGCCCCTGGCAGGCCTCTGGTGCCCCTGCTACCCCTGCGCCCTGAGAGGACTATGGTGCCCCTGAAAAGCCTGAAGTGCCTCTCGACAGGCCCGTGGTGCCCCTGGGCACCCCTGCGAGGTCGGTGGTGCTCCTGGCAGGCCTCTGGTGCCCCTGGCAGGTCTGTGGTGCCCCTGGCAGGCCTGTGTTGACTGGTGCCCCTGCTAGGCCGCTGGTGCCCCTCACAGGCCTGAGGTGCCCCTGGAAGGACTGTGGTGCCCCTGCCCCTAGGGGTGCTCATGGGCCCAACAGGCCCGTTGTGCCCCTGACAGGCCTGTCGTGTATACTTGCTAGACCTGTGGTGCCCCTGCTTCCTGGC